CGCATCGTACCACCCACAAAACGGCCACAGGAGAAACACCCTTCGCCCTTACTTACGGAAGCGATGCCGTCATTCCAGTGGAACTCAACACACCAAGTTACCGCGTGGCCCAGTACGATCCAAATGGCAATGACGAGGCACGCTTAAATGACTTAGACATGGTGGATGAGGTGAGGGAAGTGGCGGCGATCCGCCTAGAAAAAATGAAGAGGCAGGTGGCTCGGTACTACAACAAAAAGATGCGTGCCCATGGGATCACAGAAGGCGCCCTCGTCCTCAAACGAGACTTCCGCCCCGACGCCCGCGAGGGGAAGCTGGCACCGAAATGGAAGGGACCATACCGAGTTCGTGAAATGGTGGGACCCAGTACGTTCAAGTTAGAACATATTGACGGCCGTGTGGTGAAAAGAACATGGAATGCGCAAAACCTGCGATCCTACTTGGCGGGCGCAACATCCGAAGACGACGCCTCGATTTAAGAAAGGCGAAAGGCAGAAAGTGTTGTTTTGTTACAAGTGCGGGGTATGTTGACATTGTAATCAAAAGCGCCCGAAAAAACAACGCCGTATTATTACTAAAAGCGCCCTTTCTATAGCGCCCTAATTTTGCTGTGATCAGTTTAAGAAATTTCGTGTGAGCACAAAAGCGACCCAAAATTGCGCCCCAAAATAGCGCCCGGCAACACTGAGTATAGTAAAGCGCCACATTCCGCGCCCACCCTTCGCAAAAGCGCCCTAACATTGCGCCCTCACGAGAAATGCGCCCTAGTTCGCGCCCAGAAACATAAATCGGCCATAAAAGGAAAGTTAAAATTGGAAATGAAGACTTGGTAAGGAAATATAAGTTATCATATTATAAATGTACAAAGGATAGGAAAGTTCGATACAAAAAAGGAAGGTTAAAGCCCAAGGACCGCTACTCTAATCAGCGCCCGAGTTCGCGTCCCCAGCACTAGGTGCCCTTGGAGAAGGAGAGGTAGGAGCAAATGGCTCGGGCCTATCACCTCGAGGCGTCTCCATCCCACCAATCACATACTCAGCCATCTCCGCGATGTCCCAAGTAAGGTCGGGATGGTCCTTCTGCAACTTCACCCGCAGGATTTCAATGCCGGTCAGAATGGCATTGGCGCACATGTCCTTCCCAGTATCTGACTCCACCAAGTTGTCCAAAGATCGCCGCAATTCAGAAATTTCTTTCTGGGCCTTCTTCAAGGATTTCTCGGTCTCCTTGTGGGCGTCATGCAGCCTCTTCTTCTCCTCCTTGAGAATGTCAATCTCACTGGCCTGGGCGCCGGCTTCCTGCGCCAACGCCTCCTTCTCAGCTTTCAGGTCGGCCATCTTCCTGCGCTCCTCGTCCAGGGCGCCCTGCAGCCGCGACACCTCCATGGTCGCCGTCATCTGGGCGTCCTCGCACTCTTTCGCAAACTGCTCACGGCGCGCAGTTGCGTTCTCCAAGTCCAACTTCAGCTGAGAAGCGAAGAGGAAGCCTCGAGCGCCTCCCGTTTAGTCTCATTGAGGCGTCGGGCGCCCCTTTCAGCAAAGAGAAGGATCTGCAACCGTTAGAGAAAGTTCAGCAAGTTGTGCAAAATACCAAACCATCCTCTCAACTTCGGGAAAACACAAGTAAGAAAGTGCATACCTTGGCGCCCACCTGGGCCAGCTCAGCAAAGAGGTGATCCCCGTTCACCTCGGACGGCACCTGCCATGACTTGGCGGCCGCGATCGCCAAGCCCATGGCGCACCCTCGATCGACGGCGACCAGAGGGGAGCAGTTCATGTTGACCCGCCCCACATCGGCACGCCGTGGACGGAAGATGGGGGGACGCCCATCGGGGCCAACGTAGCGCCCCTCTTCGTTTAGGTGCAGATTGGCGTCCCCCCCCCCCCCCCCCCCCCCCCGCCTCCTCCTCCACCTCCACCTCGTCGCAGGCGTCCTCCTCCCCCACCTTCTGCTTTCCCCTGTCGACCCTCTTGCGGGCAGAGGCTAAGGGAGAACCCGCCCTCTTTCCCTTCCGGAGCAAAGGCTCCTCCTCTTCTTCTTCTTCCGCGGAGTTGACCTCCTTCTCCGCGGCGTCGGCGCCTGGCGCCCCTTCGCCTTCCTCCGGTGCGGATGAGGCCACGCTCGCCGTATGCGCCCGAGCGGTGCCACCCTTCACCGCCCTCTTCTTCTTCCTCTTAGGGCCAGCCGCTGGCGCCCGCGATTGAGTAGCAGGCGCTTCTTGTTGTGCAGCCGCCTCGTGTTGTGTAGGCGCCTCTCGTGGGCCAGCCGTCGCCGCGGCTGCCTCCGCCGCCATGGCCGCCAGCCTACTCTTCATCAGCTTGGCGATGCTTGAATAGTCCGCCCCTACAAATGACGAAAACAAGTTAGGCCATCACACAAACCGGGGAGCAAAGAAATAGAACACCTAGACGCCTACACACCATCGTTATAGTACGCCTCAATAATAGGCGGGCGGTTTTCGGCGGGGCGTAAGTCAACGGGTGCCCCCTCGCAAATTAAGGGGGCGCCTGCCTTTTCAGACGCCGTCAAAACCACCTCTTCGTTAAAGGCCTCAACTTGACCCAACTCCCATTTCCTAATAAAGGCGCCCCCACTTGCGAAAAAGGAGTCGCGATAGGCCTTCACGAAGAAAAAACCGTTGAACCAGGTTCGGTTCAACTTGGGACACTTCTTCACAAAATGATAGGGGCGCTTCTTTCGCTTCTGGAGGGACAAGCAATTGTCGAGAGGCACCATCTTGAAGAAGTATCTGAACAAGTTGAAGGTGGGCTCCACGTTATGCTCCCGGCACCTCAACTTGAACAGTATAATAACGGAGGGAGATAGGCGCCCGAGTGGACAGGCGCAGGACGTCAAAATTCCCTCCATGATCGAGTCTAGGGGAAACTGTAGCCCGAAGCGGAAGTACTCTTGATAGATCCCGATCCACTTCGGGCCGCAGACGCCCACCCGAGATAGAGGCGATGGGGGCGCATACCACCAATCTCTGGGAAGCCGGAGGCTAGTCACCAACTCGTGAACACGATCCAAAGTAACGGTTGACGTACGGTTCGGGCCGGCCACCTCGAACGGTAAGTGGGACGTCTCTGTGGGCAGATGATCGGGAGGAAAACACTTCTCCCACGAAGTGATCTTGTAGGACCCATCGGCAGGCAAGAAACCAGGCGCCGAAGAACGTGATGGCCCCGCAGACGATGATGGTCCGCCGGATGCTGATGAAGGCCCCCTCTCTAAACCAACAAAGGACCCAGACGCAACGCGGACACAGGGTAAGTGACGCCCCTACCCTAGGTGACTGGGATAAACTCAACGGAACTAACGAAGGAAAGAGGAACACTCACCGCGTTGAACTGGGCGCCTTTTGTCACTACCCGCATCGGAGGAGCCTTGTCCGGGAGCTTGGTCGTGTGGTGAGGTCGACATTCTGGACGGTTGCAAGGAAGGGAGGTGACGCAAGCAAAGCCTGACTAGAGAGAGGGCAGAGCAGAGTCTAGAGAGAGGTCAGAGCGAAGCCTTAGAGAGAAGTCAGAAAGAAGAAAGTGACAGAAACTAGAGGAGAGGGGGGTATTTATAGGAGGCGAAAGTCCGCGTTGGGAGTCGCGCTGACATGCCACGTGTCAGTATCACGGGTGGACTTTTGGGCCTCCCCCACTTTTTCTTCTCGGAATTTTCGAAATTTCCCATTTCGAATTTTCCAACCTCCATATTTGAAATTTCGAATTTTCCCGCCATGCGAAGCGTGGGGCTCGCATCAAAACTCCGCCCGTGAGGGGGGCATAAGGGCTAGGGACGCCCGCACGGAGAATACCACGAAGAGGCGCCCGCGAAACACAAAGAGGAAACATATTCGCAAGGGGCGTCATTAAAGACGGGACGCCCGCCTCCGTGAGTGACCGGCGAAAGCGCTCCCGAACCATGAAAAAGGTAGAAGCACAACATAGGGGCTAGAGACGCCTCATAACAAAGAAGGCAACAGACCACAGCAAGAGAATCAGTCAGGCGCTCAAAGATGAAGCCATGAGCGCCTAACTGGGGGGGCAATTGTTGGGGGTATTACCCAGCCATTAGGAGTTTGGGCCCCCAGACAAGTGACTTGGGGGGCAAAGCCCAAAAGAGGGTCCTGGGAAATGCCAAAAGGCCCAAATAAGAGGAGGGGCACATGAAGACAAAACGCTAAAGGCCAAAGGAGTCCAGGCTGTCGGGTGGTCCATCACCTGGGGGCGCCTGTCACGCCGCAGAAGCCTGACAAGGTGGTTGGGGTGTCTGGCAAAAAGGGTACAAAGCATTAAATGGGCACAATGACGTGGAGGAGATCAACCTCGAGTTCGGTGAGTATAAATAGGGGCAGTTGGTAGCATTTACGGAGGTTGGACTCTCTCTCACTAAAATACCACTTGAGAACCTTACTCTCCCACTAAGACTAACTTGGGCGTCGGAGGATTAACGGGCCGAGGCGCCCTCTTTGTGTGTGTAGGTCGACGTTCGTCAGGGGAAGACGTCCAGATAGGGAGGGGAGTTTCGTGGCTCAAACAATTATATTTGTTGGATTGTAACTAAATTGTCCACAAATATGTTTTATATATGATTAGATACATTAGATATTAATTGTTTTCACATTTTTTTAAACCGGCATGAACCGGCACAAACTGGTTATACCACCGGTCGTACCATTCCACTTGCCAAACCGGCACAACGGTATAAACCGGTTTGACAACCTTGCTTCTGTCGCATCCGTGGTCCAAACTTCAGCTGGTTATGGGCCCAAATATATATGGTTAGTAAAGGAGATATATGGGCCAACTACTTATGGTATCGACTGAGACTCCGTAGCCCAAGCCCAATTATCTCAATACCGAGAAGGGAAGAGCTATTTTGGATAATTAATTAATTAATAAATTAGACCACAATACCACATGCAGCATCAGAGTTTTTTTCTTTCTTTTTTATTTTTGGTAAAAAGAGTTTCTTTTTTCTAATTCTCCAGTTTGTCAAATTAACAACGCGAGAAAACCAGTGACGGCTGAATTTTCTATTCGCTCCTCCAAATTTCCCAAAGCCACCGCTCACAGTTCCAAATGAGACAGCGGCACGCCGCCGCCGCCTCCTTCATGACCACCAACCAACTCCCAATTCTCCCCTTTCCCAAACCATTCGCCTCATTTCTCCGCCGCCATGACCTCCCTCCTCCCCCTCCTCATCCTCCTCCTCCTTCTAAGCTCCGCCGTCGCTCAGGACAACACCACCACCCCATGTCCACTTGACATCGCCATCCTCCGCAACCTCGTATCCAGCTCCCCACGCCTCACCATCGACCGCTCCCAAGCCTGCCACCACCTCCGCCAGGGAATCCGCCTCCTCCACTCCGACTACCTCCGCCGGACCGGCAACTTCCTCCCGCCGCTCAGCTCCGCCGGCTCCTGCTGGCTCTCGTTCCAGCGCCTCGTCGACGACTACCTCCCCAACTTCGACGTCCGCTCCTCGTGCGGGTTCTCCGCCAGCTGGATCTCCCAGGGCTGCGTCAACATCACGACGGTCCGAGATTTCGAAACCCTAGTCTCCAATTCCTCGCTCGCCGACCTCGATTCCGCTTGCAATCAGCCCCTCGACAACAGATCCCCTTGCGCCAGCTGTACCACGGCTCTCTCCAGGCTCCAAGCCCTCTATTTCCCCCGCAGCCAGCTTCACTCAATCGGAAACATCTCCGATTGTCAGGTCTACCCTTGGATCTACACCGCCGCCGCCATCATCAATCCCATCGGTAAAGGCGCAGTCAAGTGTTTGTTCTCCCTCGATTTCACCTCCAACAATTCCAACGCCCGAAAGAAGAAAATCACGATTCTCATCGCCTCCGCAGCATGTCTCGTCGTAATCTCCATTCTCATAGTCCTAATTGTTGGAATTCGAATTCGGCAGAGAAGAAAAGGGAAGTCAAAATTAGGTTCAGGGTTTGGAATAATTAGCAGCAGGAACACAACCCTGGTGAAATTCAAATTCGACGAGATCCGGAAAGCCACTAAGAATTTCTCGAGAGACAACATCATCGGGCTGGGAGGGTTCGGCAACGTCTACAGAGGGCAATCAATCGACGGCGGCGGCGGCGAAGTCGCCGTGAAGAGGTTCAAGAACTGTTCAGCCTCAGGCGACGAGAGCTTCGCGCACGAAGTGGAGGTGATCTCCAGCGTCCGCCACGTGAATTTGGTGTCCCTGATCGGCTATTCCATCGCCACCATTCCGACGGAAGGACACCAGAGGTTGATCGTCTGCGAGCTGGTGAAGAACGGCAGCCTCCATGACCACTTGTTCGGCAGTGAATTTCATCAATCGTCGCCGACCCAATTGACATGGCCGACTCGCCAGAGGATAGCTTTGGGGATGGCGAGAGGGCTGGCTTACCTCCACTACGGCGCCCAACCGGGGATCATCCACAGGGACATCAAAGCCAGCAATGTTTTGCTGGACGAGACTTTTGAGCCCAAAGTGACAGACTTTGGGCTCGCCAAATTCACCCCTGAAGAAGGGAGGAGCCACGTCAGCACCAGGGTGGCGGGGACGATGGGGTACGTGGCGCCGGAGTACGCGCTGTACGGGCAGCTGACGGAGAGGAGCGACGTGTACAGCTACGGCGTCGTGCTGCTGGAGCTTCTGAGCGGGAAGAAGGCGGTGATGAAAGCCGCCGGGGGAGGAGAAGGGGATGGGAGTAGTATTGAGGCGGCGAGTCTGTTGACGGATTGGGCCCGGCGGATGGCGAGGGAAGGGAGGGCGGCGGAGGTGGCGGAAGAAGGGATTCGGGATCAATGCGGCGCCGTTTTGGATGTGGTGGAGAGGTATGTGGTGGTGGGGTTGCTTTGTACGCACCCGCAGCTCTATGCGAGGCCGACGATGGACCAGGTGGTTAGGATGCTGGAGGCGGAAGAGGTGTCGGTTCCGAAGGTGGCGGAGCTGGCGAGTGGCGCGGTGGCGCGTGGGATTATGGACGATGATGGTGAGAAGTGGATGGAGGGCACTGGATCAAGGGAGGAGCTCTTGGTTAATGGTTATGGCAATTATGAATACGTCCGGCTATAGAAATGAAACGTCATGAGAGAAATATTAACCAACGTTGTGTTTTCATCCTAATTGTATTGATAATTTAGGTTGAATTTTGGTAGGATATTCCATTCGGGGTATCAAATAACTGTATAGATTAAAACGAGAATGTAAAATATATATCAGCGCGAGAATGCGAAGAATATAGATTTAGAAATCGAAAATAAAGATGATACCAGACAGATTTAGCAAAACCCGATCTAAACTGTTTCACTCTACTTCGTATTTGGCACTCATAAACATAAAGTCATAATTTGATTTTTCTCCGTTTCCCAAACAAATTTAGGAATTCAATGGGGAAAAAAACATATATGTGTGGTGTTTGTATGTATTGTTAATCAATAATGGAGGCTTGATGGGGGAGCATAGTGACACTTACAAGCATCACGCGACATGTTCGAATTTTAGGGCCAACAATCGATTGAATAAAAAGAGAACGAAGTTAGATAATTGGCGGCTTAATTGCAAGTTTGGTCACTCGAATTGCTATAAAATTTCACGTTTGCCACTCAAATTAATTTATTCCATTTATAGTCACTCGAATTAGTTGAACAGTTCAAGCTCGGTCACTCTCCGTTAACTGTGACTGACGTGGCGGTCAACTCTGACAGTTGACCGTTAAATGTGTGACGTGGCAAATAAAAAATAATTAAAAAATAAAAATTAAATTTTTAGAAATTACACATCATTATCACAAAAAATTATAATTATAAAAAAAGAAAAAAAGAAATTATCACAAAATCTCCAATTTCCAGCTCCGATCCTATGCCCGAGAAACGAAAACGCACATTGATCTCTCTTCCACCGACGAAATCAATGGCGATTCTCCGGTCTCTCACTGTCGATTCGGTGGAAAACTCTCCCACCGACGGAATCAGCGGCGATTCTCCGATCTCTCTCTCTCTCGATCCGGCGAAAAACGATGTAAATTCTCTGATTCTCCTGCTCGATGATAAGGTTCTCTCTCTTTCTCTTTCTCACTCTCTTGCAAGCTTTCGGTCTTTCTCTCTCTCATGCGCGCGTGAGCTCTCTCTCTGGCGGCCGTTGGAGCAAGTTGCGGCCAAGCTGGAGAAGGCAGAACTCAAGTTGTGTAAGTTCGGGTAGTAGGGTTTCGAAGAATTGAGTGTTTGTGGATAGAGTGTTTATAAATTAGGTCAAGTCTGAAATACTTCAGGCCTGTTCGTTCCTTATTTACTGTGAAGCCTCGAGATTTTATTAGTATGGATAGAAGATGCTTGGCGGCGGCGGCAGCATTAGCAGTAGTGCCAGTGAAGGAGGAGGGAGCAGAGGATCCGGCTTGGGTTATAGATCGAGGATCCCGACTATGTTGTTCTCGATGTTCGTTAATTTTGCTTGAATTTATGCCGCCGGGCGGTAAGTGGTAACGCCCCGATGATGCTCACACCCTCTCTCACCCTCTCTTTCTCTTGGGAGCAATCGGATCAAATTAATCTTTTTGTGATAATTTTTTTTTCATTTTTTATAATTATAATTTTTTGTGATAATGATGTGTAATTTCTAAAAATTTAATTTTTAATTTTTAATTATTTGTTATTTGCCACGTCACACATTTAACGGTCAACTGTCAGAGTTGACCGCCACGTCAGTCACAGTTAACGGAGAGTGACCGAACTTGAACTGTTCAACTAATTCGAGTGACTATAAACGGAATAAATTAATTTGAGTGGCAAACGTGAAATTTTATAGCAATTCGAGTGACCAAACTTGCAACTAAGCCGATAATTGGCAAAATGAGAATGTGGGAGTATAATTAACTAGTGACACTTACACGCATTACGTTGTTATTTTAAATGAATAAATAAAAGCTGACATGATTAGTGTTGCCAACCATCCTTAATTTTGAAGTTCACGATTGTTCTATCATCATACCCCCTTCAAATCCTTGCTTTGCCCCGGTGTCTAGTTGATGTTGCCAAATTATAGATGCAGATGAAGCAACAATGATTGCCTTCCCCGGTTTTGATGATTGGATTTGTGGAGTAGGAAATAAATTTGAGATCGAGAAAGCTCCTGACTCACGTTTTCCAAAAAGTTTGCTCACTCGGGTTTTTTTAGCCGGATGTACTTAATGTAGTCAAAGAACCAAACTGCACATATAAACCCAAAACGGTGCAGTTTTTTGCCCAGTAAAATTGAAACGAAATTTAGAAGAAGAAGAAGAAGAATTTAGCCGAAGCTGCCCTTTTCTGAATCGCCTCAAACCGCCGCAGTCAGAAGAATCCAGCCGGTGGTCTGGTCACCAGTCGCTGACCTCACCGTGCTGCCGCGATTCGTCACCGTCGAGTCGAGGCCTCAAGACCACCGCATCGCTGATTCGCTGGTCTCTGCTTTCGTTCACCGTCGCTGCCATCCGGTTAAAAGCTTTTCACTTTGCCGTGTAACTGTGTAAGTTCCCTTTCCACAGAGTCTAAGTTTCCCATAACTGGAGAGTCTAGATGCATGTGTCTTGTAGAAATTAGAATCTAATTGATAGATTGTAACTTACAGCTGGTTGATTAGTTTTAGGACTTAATAGTTAGCTGTTTAGTGTTCTTTTTCTGTTTCTTCATCAAATTTATGTTGTTGGTATGAAACTGCGATGATCAAATTTACTAGTATGTTGACTGATGCTAATGCAAGTAATGCGGAATCAAAGTCTAGAACTCGTCAAGATCTTGGATGAGACTATGATATGGATGTTATGATTTTTCTTATTGTGTAAACCTTGACGCATGCATATCCTAATTATGAATTTCTTGTGGTTGTTGTGTTATAATGATTTTCCATTTGGAATTTTGTTTCAGAAAATCTCAAATTAGTTTATGCGTGTGAGCGGTGACATTTTAAATATGAAACTCATTTAGCTATTTACTTATTCAAAGTCTATATGTTCACATTTTACAAAGTATATGCTATATTTAGCAGATTTTTATCATTTTACATGATGCATTAAAAGTTTATACTTTTATCCATCTTCCCTTTCATGTAGAATCCACTATTGACTATGTAATGATAATGATGATAATTATAATAATAAGAAGAAGAAGAAGAAGGAATTGAGCAAATACATAATTTATAGTTGACAAAATCGATGTCCATGTGGAAGTATTTGAAATTTCATATGTTATGATTTGAAGTACATTAATATGATATATTCTCAAATATATTGGTGTAAGAAGTTTTTGAAACTACATTAAAGAAAGCGTGGCTCTTTTTTTTTTTTTTGTGCATATGTTTAATATGATTTTTGGTATACAAATTCATTGAACCAAACAATACTTTGAACAACAAATCTAGCATAACAACATGAAAAATAAATAATACTCATGCAATATTTGAGACCATTAACATTAATTTACAAATACATTAACCGAAGCACACCGTTTATGACTTATAACAAAATTTATATTCCAAACTAAAAGATAACAAGTCCTATATGGATGGTTGGAGGTGAAGTGTGTTTAGCTTGTTATTAGGGTGTAGAATGAAGAAACGCCAATTTAAATTTTTAAGTTAAGCCTAAGGTTAGAGCAACACTTAGTCGTGCAGTTTCTCAATAAGATTTTCATTTCCTACGAAAATATTTCGAAATATGTAAATTTATTTTTGAAGGCGTTGAACTGAACTCCAAATGATCGGAATCGGTTGCTATCTACCATGCCAACGCAGTTGTATAACACAACAAACCCTATTATTGGAATGTGAACTTTTTATTTTGGAATGTGAATTATATATCACAATGTAATCCATATGTTTCAATCAAACAGAAACCCCCAATTTTTTTTTAACTACACTTTTTTAGCCATAGAAAATCCGTACACCTTATTATGCCGTCGAAAGTATATAAGAAAAAAATTCTGAAAAAAAGCTCATAGAACACTCTACCTAATTTATCACGATGCTTGTGATTGGGATGACTAAATTGAAACTTGAATAAAATAACATAGTAAAATAATTAAACAAACCAAATTGAAGAGAAGGAAAACGAGGTGTGCAGCTGCCGGTGAGTTCAGGTTCAGCAGCCCAACCATTTGGACCTCGTCCAGGTCCAGTCCACCAGTAATGGGGTCGATTCAATTTTGGAAGTACGTTGGACCAACCACTCATATGATATTTCATTATATATGTGCACCTTAGAACTTATGAAAATTAATTTCACTAGCAAAACTAATTAACAGGAGTACTTTGAGACATGATATTATTTTTGGTAGAAATATATCGGGATGTTCAAACGGTGTGGTTACCATGGTAACCGTTTTAACCAGTACTATTTGGATAATTTGGTTTGGTTAATTTGGATAATTGGTTTGGTTAAAGTTTTTAGCTTGTTTGGTTTAGGTGGTTTGGTTTGGTTTCAGACACTCCTAACCAGTCAAACCAAATTAACCAGATAAATAAATAGCCATATATCTAATATATACACATACTTAATACTTTGAATAACCACTCAAGAGTTGAACGCTCATCCCTTTTAGACTCATAAAATATAAAGCTTGATATTGTTCCTATAATGTATATTTGTATATGTAGAGTGTAGACCACAACATATGAAAGCCTAATTTAGATAAATCTCATACATTATGTTGGATGAAAACTTGAAAGCAAGGTCCTTTTCAGCCTATGAAACTTGCTAAAAGACTAATTCAATTCAAACAACACACAAAAATTCCTTAACCCATACCATTGTGATAAATTTTTGTTAGGTGAATACTTCTATACTAACCGTAAGATAATTGTCTTAGTTGCATCTATTTATGTTGATTAGGTGAATACTTCTATACTAACCGTAAGATAAGGGTAAACTATAACTATGTGTTGATTGTTATGTTTTATTCATTATATAAATTGTGAATCGATAAATTAACCGAAATTTTCTCACCTAATGATAATGTGATTTTATATTGGTTAATCTGGTTAACCAATTAATCAAATCGATTAAACTTTAATTTGGTTAATTTGGTTGTTTTATTAGTTTGGACGGTTTGGTTAATGATATTGTATTCCATAATTAATGAAATTTAGCCTTATTTAGTTTGGTAATATCCGTGGTAACCATTTGAACACCCCTAGAAATATATACTCTTTATAAACCACATATCACATTAATTAGTAATCTTCCTTGTAATTGGTGGACGTTAGGGCAAATACAATATATCAGCCATAACTATTAAGCAGCGAGGAATTATAGCCACAACTATCGAAATACAAATTATTAGCCAATCGTTAAGTTTTCGTTAATACTTCTGTTAGTAATGATGACTAAGCTTTTACGATGCTGAGCTGGCTCCCACGTGGCAGTCATCCTATCATATTTTTTACGATGCTGACATGGCCGCCTTCTACATTAAAATTTTGAAAACAACAACAGGCTGTTAGCCAAATCTTGACCCACAACAATAGTTATGACTAATAATTTGTATTTCAATAATTATAACTATAATTATCCGCTACTTAATAGTTATCGCTAATATATTGTATTTACCCTTATTTTTTAACACATTCCTCCTACTCCTTCCTGAGTTCCTGTCCTCTCAGCTTCTCAGTCACGTTTTCTCTGCCGACTGCAAATATAATAATAATCCTAATTATTATTATATAATAATAAATAAAACCTACGAGACTCTGTCCCTTCGGCGCCACCCGATAAAATTGAGGCTATGATATCTCATTGGACAAAACCACTCGTCTCTCCTGCTTCTTCTCCCTTTCTCTGCCATCGCCGTTTGCCTTGACGACTTGTTATGGCAGACGACCTGAGCTAGCAAGCATTTTCCGGTTGAACAGATTTTTCCAACGTCTCTCTTCATTTCCAACAACTCCACCATTGATTACACATACTTCCACTACTCTGTATTCCCCTGTGTCTTCTAGCAAAAAGGGCAAGTCTGATAATATATACTACTACTTGGGCGGAATTCCAAAATCGCTTACGTTTCCCTCCACCACCACCACCTCTTATCTCTTTTGCAGAATTTCCCGCCCTCCCAAACAGAAACACAAAAGGAAAAGAAAAAAAATTCCATCGCTCTGCGAATTTCGGAGGCAATGAAGATGACGAAGAAGAAGAAGGCGGCGGTGGTGGTGGAGTCGAGCTCTCCCATTGGCGTATTGGAAGACTACTTCAGAAGCGAAGAAGAAGAAGAAGAAGAATCGACATCTTCCAATTCTCCAACCCAAAGCAACAGTACCCTCCAAAAATCCAGCAGCTCGCGTTGGAACGGAATCGCCCATCTCTTCCGCAGCAATTCCAAGAAACCCGCCGCCGATAACAACAACAGTAAGCCACATCCTCTCAGCGCCCTTAAATCATCCTTCCGCAGCTTCAGCATGAGAGAGCACGTATCCTCCTCCTCCTCTTCCTCCTCCGCCGTCGTCGTACCCAATTTCTTCCCCGATTCGGCTTCTCACTGGAACGATGACGGAACCCAGAGGATGAATTTCACCCTCGCCCAGCTCCAAGCCGCCACCAATAACTTCAGCCCAGGTCGGTAATTCATGTCTTCTTCTCTGGGTGGTTAACTAATTACAGTTGGTCTGAACCGGAACCGGGAAATTGGGTTTTGCTTGGGCAGGGAACATGATTGGGAAAGGCGGGTACGCGGAGGTGTACAAGGGTCGTCTGTGGAACGGGAAATTGGTGGCGATAAAGCGGCTGACGAGAGGGACGCCGGACGAGATGACCGCCGATTTCTTGTCGGAGCTGGGAATCATGGCCCACGTCAAGCACCCAAACACCGCGAAATTGATTGGGTATGGAGTCGAAGGAGGGATGCACCTCGTCCTCCACCTCTCTTCCCGGGGCAGTTTGGCGTCGTCACTCTACGGTAGAGTTTTCAGAGTTCAATTTCATCATCATCAATCCTCCAATTTCAGACTCTGTATTTAGTAAACCGGGTTTGGGGTTTTGGTTCGGGTAAACAGGGTCGAGAGAGTGCCTGAGTTGGGAAGTTCGTTACAAGGTTGCGATTGGGACGGCTCAAGGGTTGGTTTATCTGCACAGAGGATGCCAGCGGCGAATCATCCATCGAGATATCAAGGCCGCAAATATTCTGCTCACCGAAGAATTCGAGCCTCAGGTTTGTGATTTAGCATTCTTTTGTTCTGAGTAGACAAGGAGGAAGAAATTGACCTTTTTGAATCTCTGCTGCAGATTTGTGATTTTGGATTGGCCAAGTGGCTACCGGAGAAATGGACCCATCATACCGTGTCCAAATTCGAAGGCACTTTTGGGTTCGTACTTTCTCTCTCTCTCTCTTTCTCTCAGTCAATCAATCAATTGGAGCGATTCAATGATTTGGGTTGTTTAGATTAGTCACGTAAACGTAAAGTAACGGCCGCCATTATTACGCAGGTATCTTGCGCCGGAGTTTTTGATGCACGGAATCGTGGATGAGAAGACGGATGTATTCGCGTTCGGGGTGCTGCTGTTGGAGCTGGTCACAGGACGCCGCGCGCTTGATTACAAAGAGCAAAGCCTCGTCTTGTGGGTAATACTAATACTAATGATTTTCACTGATGATTGCTGATTTGCTGTCTTCTGTTGCTTAGTTACCCAATCAAAACCATTCACCCACTTTTGGTTTCTTTACTTTCTTGCTTGCCTATGAAGGCAAAGCCACTGCTGAAGAAGAGTGATATACGGGAGCTGGTGGATCCAGCGCTGGGGGACGATTACGACGCAAAGCAGGCTAACCTGATGCTCCTTGCCGCCGCGCTCTGCATTCAGCAGTCGGCGATTCGGAGGCCGCAGATGCCGCAGGTGGAGCAAGTTTTGAGGGGGAAAGTGAGCTGCTTGAAATGCCCCAAGAAGTGCAGGGTTCCCTTCTTCACCAAAGCTTTCCGGGAAGAGCTGCTGAAGGCCGAGGAATTAGAGTTCCAACGTGGAAATTGAAAACCCAGGTTGCAGATACGAAGAGTTACTCTGTTTCTTATCATGGCAGAGTCCTCCGCCTGTATTCGGAGAGTAATGATCGACAGGTGGACGAAACAAATTTTGTAACCCGGAAGGGAGGAAAGGGGCAATCAAGAGCAAGGGCATCCGTTTTGGAAGCGAATTAATGTATTAGCTGAGTTAGCCCACCAATACAGGGTGATAATACGTGCTACTATACAAGAAAAGATGAGGCAGGGGAAACAGAGCCCATTCCTCTGTTTTATGCATATAAATGTACAACAAATTCTTTTTACATTGGAAGCGCTAACGCAGTTAGCGGTTGTTCAAATGGTTAGCATGATAGTTTTCAGATAATTTGAGTTAAACTTTTAAAAAAAATATAGAGCGCAAAGGATGCTCTCATAGAGTGGTAATACAACCGATAACATAGCATAGCACTAGGCGGCTCACAAAAATGAACACCCAAAGGCAAGTACTAAGTAGTGACTGATAGAGGCCAGATAGTCAGCAACCAAGTTGCCTACCTAAAACACATGTGAGACGCTGACCTCCCAATCCATCGTCAATAGTCGTCGAGCCTCTCTAACCATCGAGTAGTGTGGGTGGCACTCATTCGCCGGCTGAAGAAGCTGGATGGCGATGCGGAAGTCGGTCTAAAGTTTATTAACCATGAAACATAATATCTTAACCAAAACTTATCAAATTAATACTACAACCAAATTAATCAAAGTAAAGTTTAATCGCGTGAAACTATGTAGTATAGCGCTATTATTATGTGGAGAAAATTATCATTGTTTGACCATAATATATGTAATGAATAAAACATAGCAATCATAGTTAACTCTTAACATAAATACATGTGACTAATATAATTATCTTATAATAATTAGATGTAGCGCCCCTGGATAAAATATATACCGATGATAATGAATTGGCGTGTGTCTATTTAAATTGTCTCATTAGTTTCTTATTAGCAGTTATTGAAGGAGGAAAAAACTCTTTCATTCCAGGTTTTCATCTAGCATAATGTGTGAGATTTATTTAAATTAGGAGCTAATATTTTGTTGCTTATACTCTATAAGAAGTTAAAAACGAATACATAAACAATTTTGAGAATTATTTTTTACATGTCCGAAGTTAAGAACGAATACATAAACAATTATGAGCATTATTTTTTACAGGTCCAAACACGAGGGAGACCGGACTTAGTTATGTATGACATTAAATATGTGTATATAATACATTAGACAAATAGCTAAGTGTCTAATTGGTTGATTAGTTAGCAGTGTCCGAAACCATATTAAACTGTTCAAACCAAACAAACTATAAAAGTTAACCAAATCAAATCAATTATCAAATAACTAAACCAAATTATTCAAATACTATCCATTAGAATAATTAACATGGTAACCACTTCTTGTTTACATCATGATAAGATTGTGATTTACTTATTGTGATAAATAGGCTACCAAAGGAATCCCAGGAGGCAAAGGATTGTTGTGACAGTTATATGCATTATTATTCTTCATGTTCAGTGGGCACTGGCAGTGAGCAGGGAGATGGTTATTTCCAGCTTATTCGAAGACTATTTTTTTTTTAATTAAAAAGGGAATTGAGTTAAATTTTGGTTTCGAGGAGGTTGAGTTTGTTAAGGAACGATATTGATATTTATGGTCTTATAAAAAAAATACTGATATTTATGGGGTTGATTAACGAACAAGGAAAGTGGGTAATCCGTAATCGGGTATTGGTTGCTGAAACAATGAGAGTAGTAAATTGGATTAGGAATCAGTTTGTATGAGAACAGGAGGATGACCAACTTTCTGAAAACAAAATAATGCCAAAGGAAGAAGATGACCAACTTACAATTCCAAAGTTGAAAATTTCATCTTCTTTGGAGGGTTTTTTGTTGTGAATTTCACTCCGGATAGTATGTAATTTGTGTCCTTTTCAATTGATTTGTAACCAATAGAACAACAAGGGTTAAAAAAAAAAAGAACAACAAGGGTTGTGCTACTCATCCCACTTTAGTCATAATGCTAATAAAACTGTTGCGCTACTCATCCCAATTTATTCATGATGCTAATAAAACGTATGTATTGGAAATGGCATGAACTTAAAATCGAAAAGTTTTATTCGGTCCGTTTGATGGAGAGAACTAAGACGAGAATACTAGCATATCAATATCTCAATTATGATAGATGGTATTAAAAGAGATATTACAATTTATCATCAACACCCAATCCCCATGACCACAAAAGCCAAGAAGAAAAGTATTTCAACGTTGTTTACAACAAGTAATAAATCTCCAATGTTTAGCTTTACACTTTTAGGTTCATTTTTATTTTAGGCAAAATACACTTCAATAGCTATAACTATTCACGTTGTGACAATAATAGCCACTTTTGAAAAATACACAGATATAGCCACAATTTTGAAATTAGCTTGACAAATATAGTCATTTCCGTTAAAAATTTTAATACCGTTAAAACAACTGTCAATATCATTAACGAAATGTTGATGCAGATGCCACCTCAGCTCCCACATCAGCTCCAACACACCATTTCATGGCACCTTGTCGCCATGTCACATTTTAATTTCAAAATAAATAAAAAATTATTTTCACTAAAGCCTCGACTCTTTTTCCCATCTGTTCGGTCTCTCCGATAGCCGCTGTAGCTAACGATTCCTCTACAGTTGTCGCCGATCTCTTTTCTTCTGTCACGGCGATGAGTCTTGCGCCTTTGTCTACTAGAATTTCACCTACCTTATCTCCGCTGCACCACTACGTCACGGAATTTCTCTTCCCAGTTCAGACTCTGATTTTGCCCTTTGGCTATCCCTAGAAATCAACTCGAGGGCCTTGCTTCAATCGACACCCTCTCCGCTGGCTGGATCCCCTCGAGGCCGAAAGCACCTCAAGCCGCCGCCGCAGCTCATCTCCACCTGAAATACCACCACAGCACCAGCACTTGTTCATCCTCAATTGCCGTCGCTGTCATCATCCTCATCCTTTAACCCTGCGGTGGAGATGAGAGTTGAGTAGGAGAGATGATGACCCGACCTTCAAATCTGGAGATGAGCTATTCGATTTGGTTGGATGGGTTTGAGAATTGGGTTTGGCTTCTTCTTGCTCGATTGAAACTTGAAAGAGAGAAGAAGGATCTGGGAGCTAGGATAGGCATATTAGAATTGGAACAAAGGGAGCGGCGGTGGAGGAGAATTGGCGGATGACGGACGTGAAGGGTTTCAGATTTTGGGGTTCTTTTTTGTTTTCCATGGGAGGGTTTGGTGGGAAATAATGGTTTTCCTTTTGTTTTTTGTTTTGATTCATGTTAAAGTGATTGACGGAATGATATTTTAGTGTATTTTTAGTGAAGTGGCTATTATTGTCACAACGCGAATAATTATTACTATGAAAGTATATTTTATCTTTATTTTATTGCATCATGTTTTAACTTTGACTTTAAGCCTTATTGTCTCTCCAAAAGCAAGTTGGCACACCTGGTGGAGCCAATGCTTAATGAGGTGGATCTAGCGTTCAAGTTGTCATGCAGTGCCAATCTTTGCCTATTTAAACCAAATGATAAATGAGAAACACTCGAGTCTATCTGCTTTGATTAACAAGAAAGTGAAGGAAAGATCCATGGAATCAAAATCTGCAATAGAGCGCCCATTGTTTCTCACCTTTTATTTGCTGATGATTGTGTTTTGTTTGCAAGGCCAAATATTAACGAGGCTAAGAAACTCAAAGAGATTCTGAGGTTGTATGAGATCGATTCAGGGCAAATGGTTAATTTAACCAAGTCAGAGATCTACTACAGCAGCAACATTAAAGGAGACAGGAGAGCGGAGATTTGTGCAGAAATGGGGATAAAAGAAGTGGATAAGTTGGCTAAATACCTTGGCCTTCCTACTATGGTGGGAAGATCAAAGAAGGTGATCTTTCATAATCTTCAAGATAGAGTCAGAAACAAGCTCACCAACTGGAAAAACAGGTATTTCTCAGATGTTTGAAAAGAAAACTTAATTAAAAGCATTGCTCAAGCTCAGGCTACTTATGCCATGTCAGTTTTTAAGATCCATGGTAGTATTGTGGATGATATTCATAGCCTTATGGCTAATTATTGGTGGGGGCAGAAATGTTCTGAAAGAAGGATTCATTGGAAAAAAATGGGGAAAACTGTGTAAAGGGAAGGAAGAGGGAGACATGGGCTTTAGAGATCTCAAGATCTTCAATAAAGCTATATTGGACAAACAACTCTGGAACTTGCACCTCAGGCCTGACTCTCTAGTGGCCAGACTTCTCAAGGCCAAGTATCACCCTAGATCATCCATCCTTGAAGCAAAAGTTGGCTGGAGACCTAGCTACATCTGGCGCAGCTTGATGGGGGCACATGTCTTTTTAAGCATGGTTGCAGATAAAAAATTGGTACTGGAGAAGAGGTAAGAATCTGGGGTGATAAATGGGTGTCGAATCTGGATAACTATGAGGTGATATCTTATTGTCCTTTTATGGAGTGGGATAAAATGTCATGCCTCATTGATCAAGAGACTAGAACATGGAGACAAGATTTACTGGAACTTCATTTCAAACAGGAGGAACAACAGACTATAATGGCAATCCCTCTTTCATCATCAATGGAGAAAGATGTCTTATGCTGGACAAAATCGGAAAGTGGGAAGTACACAGTAAAGTCTGGATACTTTGTGGAACAAAGAAGAGTGGAAGAAGAAAGAAACAACGAGGCTACTTTACAGACTAAAGAAGGTTTCTGCTTGAAGGAACTCTGGAAACTGAACATGTCGGTAAAGCTAAAGACTTTTATTTGGAAGGCTGCTCACAACATTCTACCAATAGGAGACAAGATAAGTAAAAAAACTTACAAGAATGGGGGATGAATGTCCTAATTGTGGTCTTAAGGAGACCCTGAATGTGGCTGGAATACTAGGATTTGGAGCAAAACTCCCATTGCAAACTTATTCTATAAAGCAGAAGGGCTCACGAGCAAAAAATGGCTCAGTTTGGTTCTGAAAAGTTCTTCAGGAAAGGAGGTGGCACAATTTTGCTCCCTTCTCTTGGTTTTTTGGAAGGAGAGGAACAAATTTGTATTCAATAACAAGATGCTTCAGGAATGGCAAGTCATCTCTAGAGGTGATGATTTTATACAGAGTTTTCTGGAAATGCAGGGGAAGGATCAAAAGGACAACCAGACAAATACAAGGAAGGACTGTAGATGGAGGAAGCCCCCAGTTGGTATCCTGAAACTTAATGCTGATGCAGGATTCATGGGTAGAGAGGAAGTAGGACTTGGATACATTGTTAGAGATTGGAATGGTGCATTGGTCTTTGCTGCAAGAAAAAGAGTCAAGCTTAAATGGTCATCAGACATTGCAGAAGGTATGTCGATCTTATTTGGACTTCAGCTGGTTAAGGAAAAAGGACTTGGCCCGTCAATTGTGAAATCAGATTGTCAAAAAGTGATCCACCTACTTAAGAACGTTGGCTGCTGCAGAACACAATTGGGAAGTGTTTGCGGGGACATAAGGGAAGTGGCTTCTGATCTCGATATTAGAGATTGGAGTTTCAAATTCCGGGAAACAAACAGAGTAGCTCACCAATTGGCTCATTTTTTAGTAGATAATGAAGAAATTGTAATTTGGGAACATTGCTTACCCACAGTGGTAGCTGATGTTGTAGCCCATGAGACATTTTTTACTTGATTTCAATGAAATCACATCGTTTTACCCTAAAAAAAGAGTCACTATGATTTCATTTTCACCTCTCATACCTTTCAACATGGTGTAAGAACCAGTAGACAACCCTAGCAACCTCCCACACAGAATTAGGGTATTCCTCATTTTCAGCTGAAAAATATGAACAATTCATCATAAAAAAAAACTCTTAAGCCCAACAATCGATTATGCATTCTTCTCCTTCCTCTCCCAAGCAAATCACAATTGTCACACCCAATCTCTCTACATCTTCCCCAAATAAAAAATCCTAAAAGCCTCCCATTTAAATGAAGACAATGATGGGAGTTTAAGGATACTGAGGGAAGTGATTGAAGAGGGTTCGAAACATTGGGAGAATAGTTTAGTAGGACAATTCATTAATCGGCCGACCTCGTTCTCGTCAATCAAGTATTGGGCGAATTGGCTATGGGGCAAAGCAGGTGAAAGTAGGGTGTCCTGGATGGGGTGGCGCCTTGTCTTGTTCCAATTCCCAAATACTGAGATCTATCAATGGGTATTTGAGAATGAGCCCTGGCATCATCGAGAGAACTTGGTTTTCCTCCATAAATGGGATCTAGGCAAGCGGTTGTGGGTTGCGACAAGAAGCAAGGGCTGAGGCTTCTAGGATTGTCGTTGCCAGATATGGATGTTGACATTGGTAGCTCAGCAACAAGCCAAGCGGATTGAGGACGTTTCAAAGAACAATGATAGAAAAAGAAAAAATAGAAAGAAAAGAATGATTATGTCGAATATAGTTTGTTAGTAAGGAGGAAATTGAATTGACGAAGTAAATCTTATTCTTACCCATAATTCCATCTTGGTTAGTTAGTCTTGTAATCGACTAATCCTTCAAGGTTGGAACTATTTGGATGAGAAACCCGCGAATTTCCAGGGATACAAGGATTCGTCTGAATTGATGGCTTTCATTTTCCATGCGGGAAGGCGGCCGATAGAGAAACCAAAAGAGGAGATTTTCAGCTTGAAGCCAAATCTTTGATGATTTGGTAGTGCAACATAAGTTTTCGATAGAGTGTTGGGGGATTAGAGGGGCAGGGTGGGCTTACATGGGTACCCATAGTTGCCTGTTCTGGTCATGGGTCGGGTCACAACCCGCTTCATTTCGGGACAGAGTTGGTTTGGCCCGCCCAACACGAGCCAGATATGGGATTATCCGTTGGATCGGGTAGAAACTACCAACACTATTGAATATACATAGGGTATTAGGGCTAAAGATACAGTGCATAACCATGGGTTATGCACCCATAAGTAACTAAATCTGGACCATTCATTCAGAAAATCCAGATATAATGGTAGAGAATTAAAGACATTTTTATTTTTCTCTTGTTTTATTGATCGACACATATCTTCTTTGTTTTAACTCGGATTTCATTTTTTTTTTTTGCACATATGGAACGAGTTCATTGTGCTCTACAAAATGAGATCCATTTTTAATATTTTTTTAGAAAAAAATTCTTACCTCTCGGTACCAACTACATGTCATATGATATCTTATTCGCTTTTAATTCATTTTTGAAAATTTTTACACAGAAGGAACGAGTTCATCATGATCTATTGGATCTACAAATTTCTGGGTGAACTAAATACAGGACCAAAAAACACCACACAATACCACGCTAGTACGGGGTGGTATCTTGTGGTACACAAGGTCAAAAGTCGTAAATCACAGTTAATATACTTCTACTATCATGTATTCAATCATCCTACAGTCTTGGTTTGTTCATATCACCATGGTGCGCTTTTCATACCATAGGTATGCTCTTATTTCACTACCAGTCAATACCATATGGTATAGACTGGTAAAAACTGGCTCAATTTTTTTTGTTCAAAAAATATATCAAAGTGAATATCATTTTGAAGAGCACAATTAATCTGATCTAACTGTGAAAAAGTTAAATTTCATCTTAAAACGAGTGAGAAATCGTCCGTTAAAGTTGAAAGGGAAAAACTAATTTAGGAGAAAAAAAAGAGGCTAATGTGATAAATTCTATTGGGTTATGCTTCGCTCTCCGGGGTATAAGGTATTAATGTATTATCATCCTTACATTCTCTCCGGTTCCATTTATTTTGTATTAAAAATGAGATTAACTCAATAAAACTAAGCAGAAGTGGATTAGGAATTGGGAGACGGCGGTAAAGATATACTCTAGAGAACAGAGACTTGAACTGCGCCACATCGCCACCAGAGTAAGAAAGAAGCGAGCCGCATAGAAACGAAGACGACAGTTCTAGTTCTAGACGTGAGGCACGGAGTAGAGATATTCAGACAGCGGTCTTGGTAGAGAGAGAGAGAGATGAAGCCATGTAGTAGAGCGGGAGAAGAACAAAAAGAGCGATGAAAAGGAAGAAGAAAAGTTAAAGAAAATAGCCGATGATGATGGCGATTGTGATGATGAGATGGTGAATTCGAAGAAAAAGGGGGAAGAAGTATTATTAAAGCTGAAATCAAAGTGTTATCCACAATAATTAATTGTAAAGAAAAAAAAGGAGGAGGAAGAAGGAGAAGAAGAAGAAGATAAGTTGCAGCAAGCGAACGAGCCTCAACTCAAGGAGTCCCAGGTCAAACGGGAGTAAACACCTTTACGGTTTCCCTCTCGCTACGTTTCTCTTCGCTTTAGATTGCAATCGGAGGAGAGGATTCGGATGATACACCCGATCGTCGGAGGCGATCGGCCATGCTCGTCGGCGGGGGTTGTGTTGGAGGCGGTGGAGGCTGGTGGCGGCGGCGCTGGCGGAGGGAGTGAAGCCTATTTTCCCAACTCGGTTGTCGTGGAACTGGCAGTAGGTATTACTAGTATAAGCAGTACGGGTTGAAACGAGCTTTAGTTTAGCTTGCAGAGAAAGGAGGAAGACGACGATGAAGAGAGGGAAAGGGAGGAACAACGGCTTGTTGCCCCACTCGTTGAGGATCATCTCTTCTTGTCTCAAAACTGTATCTACAAACGCTACCACTGTTGCTTCCACTGTTCGTACCGCTGGCGCTTCCGTTGCTGCTTCCATTTCGGCTTCCGTAGAGGATCACAAAGATCACGTAGCTTTTTCTCACCCTGTTTCTTCCTTCTCTTCGATTCACGTTTTTTAAGCCAATCTAGTGACCTGATTTTGTTGGATGCGACTCTAGACCTAGAAGATACATACCAGACTGGGTAATGTGTTGATACTGAGACGTTTCATATGAGATGAGTTTGTTCTACAGCTTGTGCTTTGTCTTCCATTTACTTCGGCCTATGATGGTGAGATTAATTAGGGTTGCTTGTTAACTATGTTCTTAACGTGGGTGGACAAAATGAATTGACTTGGTATTCATTCAGTTCTATTCGTTACTAGAGGAAAGGAAGTAATTAACCTCACCCAGTGGTTTGATAGTAGAGCGATTTTCGTTTTGATATGTGTACTGTGTGGATGGTATTCTGTCTTCTGTTGTTTAGTATTCTCAGTGCACACATGGATCTACATTTGAAACCTTCAATTTCCAACAGGTGACGTGGGCTGGATTTGACAAGCTGGAGCTTGGTCCATCTGCCTTCAAACGTGTTCTGTTACTTGGGTATCAGAACGGGTTTCAAGTGCTTGATGTAGAGGATGCCTCCAATTTTAGCGAGCTTGTGTCAAAGCGTGATGGTCCAGTTTCGTTCTTACAGATTCTGCCCTTGCCTGTGAAGTTGGAAGGCCTTGAAGGAAACATCAGATCATCACATCCTTTACTGTTAGTAGTGGCAGGGGATGATGTCCACAATTTAAACCAAGGTCAAGCTCCTAGTCACTTTTCTGGGCCTGGAGGGAGAGATGGTACCCATTCTCCTTCATCTGTTCGGTTTTATTCACTCCGGACTCACTGTTACGTGCGCGCACTAAGATTCCGCTCAGCTGTGCTTATGGTCAGATGTAGCCCTCGGATCATTGCTGTGGGACTTGCAACTCAAGTACGTTTTGGTTGCCTCAGTTGGTGTGAGTAATTTTGATAGTATTAGTAACCGACTCAGTTTCCTAATTTCTTTTTGTATGATGTCAGATATTCTGTATTGATGCTCTTACTTTGGAGAACAAATTCAGTGTTCTTACTTATCCTGTTCCTCAACTGGCTGGAGAAGGAGGATCAACTGGAGTTAATGTAGGTTATGGTCCAATGGCTGTTGGTCCCAGGTGGTTGGCTTATGCTTCCAATAGTCCATTGTTGTCAAGCATTTGCCGCTTAAGCCCGCAGAACCATACTACTTCTCCTGGTGTTAGTGTATCCACTTCACCAAATGGCAGCAGTAGTTTGGTGGCCCGCTATGCAATGGAATCTGGCAAACATCTTGCTGCTGGAATTGTTAACCTAGGGGATATGGGGTACAAGAGTTTGTCTAAATATTGTCAGGAGCTGCTTCCTGATGGTTCTAGCTCTCCAGTGTCATCGAACTTTGACTGGAAAATTGGTAGACGTGGAGGTTATGATATGGACAATGCAGGAATGGTGAGTTTTTCTGTTTTAATCAAGGGACTTTTGTGGTAAATATTGTTTGATCATGCTTATAGTCTTATGGAATTTAGTTTGGGTTGTCCAAGTTCACCAATCCCGATTGTAATACTAGCTGTAGTTACATTTATGCTCTCCTGCACCATGAGACAATTGTTTTTTAATTTTATCTGACATATAAGCATGTATGCTGGATTGGTAGTTTGTTCGTAAGACATATGAGTAATGAGCTTGAGCTTAAAGTAAGTCTTTGGAGGTTGGATTCAATTGACGAAGACACGAAATATATGAAGTAAAACCAAAATGATTTCTGCTTTGTTTATTGTGTGAATTGATAGCTGTAGACTGTCGTTGCTACTGAAAATATGATACCGGAGAAATCAACGAGCACAAAGTTTTGTCCGAGCTTAACCAATTACTTATTATGACTAACTGCAGGTAGTTGTCAAGGACCTTGTGTCACGAGCTATTATTTCACAATTCAAGGCCCATTTGAGTCCAATATCAGCATTATGTTTTGATCCTAGTGGGACCCTGCTGGTTACTGCTTCAGTTTGTGGTAATAATATAAATATATTTAGGATTATGCCGAGTTCCACGCAGAATGGCTCAGGTGCGCCAATCAGCGATAGAAGCTCATCTCATGTCCATCTTTACAAGCTACATCGAGGAATAACTTCAGCTGTTAGTATATGCCATTTTTTAGACTAGGCATTTTTGTTCTCTTCTGTTGTTTATGTTTGTTTATCATTGTTTTATCTGCACATTTTGACAGATCATCCAGGATATATGCTTTAGTCATTACAGTCAATGGATTGCAGTTGTTTCATCCAAGGGCACCTGCCATATTTTTGTTTTATCCCCTTTTGGTGGTGATTCTGGATTTGAGTCTCTTGGTTCTACCACGGACGAAGGACCCTCCCTTCACCCACTTCTGTCTCTGCCTTGGTGGTCAACTTCTTCTTGCACAATCAGTAAACATGGCTCTCCACCTCCACCTCCCATTTGTCTTTCTGTGGTGAGCAGAATAAAGTACAGTAGCTTTGGATGGCTTAGTAATACAGTTGGGAGTGTTACTGGCTCTTCTGCATCAGGAAAAGTTTTTGTTCCATCTGGTGCTGTTGCTGCTGTGTTTCATAACTCTGTACCCCAAAAGTCGATTTGTGATGATACCCCGAGGACCAGTTCCTTGGAGTACTTGTTAGTCTATGCTCCATCAGGTCATGTAGTTCAGCATAAACTTTTCCCCTCAATTGGGTCAGAAACCAGCGGAACTGGTTCAGCACCGCAGCCATCTTTAATTACTCATATACAGGATGACGACCTGAAGGTGAAGGTTCAACCTGTTCAATGGTGGGATGTTTGCAGAAGATCAGATTGGCCTGAAAGGGAGCAATGTATATGTGGCCAAGATGCTGCAGACACAAATCAGAGAAAATCTGATTGTGGGAATAATTCCAGTGTGGATTTTCTGGATATCAATGGAGATGCCAGTCAAAAGGACAAGAGGGCATATCTTTTGAAGTCTGATGAAAAATCTCATTGGTACCTGGCGAACGCCGAGTTACACATTGCCTCCTGGAGGTTCCCTGCTTGGGAAAAGTCTAAGGTATTTTTATTGTGCTAAGATCTCATGCCCATTTGGTTGCTACATCTTAGTTTGTAATTTTCTGGTTCATCTTTCTTGTAGATATATTTCTATGTGATGGATCCTCAACGAGTTGATACTAATACGAATGAGGAGTCTGAGATAGAAAAGGTTCCTGTCCACGAAATTGAGGTTAAGAGGAAGGAGTTACTACCAGTTTTTGACATTCGTCATTCTATCAAGCAAGGCTGGAATGAGAATGACAGGTGATGGCCACCTCGACACTTACATTTTAGAAGCATCATGTTATATGGTTCTAGAGAAACTTTGTAGATTGGCTACCTTGCTCTATGGATGAATTTTATACGTTTACTGGGATTTGTAGTATTATTTCTGAAGCATTTTAGTCGTGAGCATTTGGAGAAAGAAAGAAAAGAACGAAAAGAAAGATTTACTGTGTGGGTTCTTTTTCCGATGAATTATTGTGAATTTTTCCTCTTCTGGAATAAGAGTTTTGGTGATTTTTGGTGCACACTTTTCAAATTGTACATACGTATTTCTTCTTTTGATAGAACTGTTAAGTATATTTAGTTGACATTTACTGCAACTATATCATTTGAACTTGTGAAAACTGGAGGACCTTTCCATGCCTATGCATAAGGGTTGCCAGCTAATATAATGTCAGAGTTTGGCCTACTCCTTTTTCACATCATACAGAGGTGTCTAACACCATAGTGCGAGTGTCTGTTTTGATCAATGAACATGCCTTCTTACTGCCTATATATCATCAGCCTTTTTGTTCAGTGCTCTTGAGCGATATGTTGTGTTTCATATGTTTTTGTTTTTATGCAGATCACTTGCTGGGGCGAAATATATTCTGCCATCAGTATCTGATCATCATGAATCTGACGATGGCAAGAATCTGCAGGAGACTGTAATTTGTGACTCAAAGCCATCTTCCGGTTGTTCAACTGAAAGCTCAGAATGTGGTAAGATCAAACATGTTTCCTACAGTATTTTCTATGCGAAACAAACTGAAATTTATGCATGATATCTTCTCTCTTTTTTTGTCTTCCAAAGTAGGGCACGATCTCTCTTGCTTCTAATCCCCATACATTCTTGAAATTTATCCTGTCCTATGTAGGTTCATCAAGAAGAATCGAGCATCTGCTTGATCTGGACCATATCAACTCTGAGAAGTCACAGATACCAACTTCTCAGTACTTGATTGACACCCACGAGGAAAACATAGAACATCATCCTTTTGAGTTTTGTAAATCTGTGAAGCTTCCGGGTGCTCTTAGCGTTGATTTTTTGTTTCCTAATCACCCACTGAATGCAGATTCTCCTGTTCATGGAAATACTGCCAGTGATATGCTCTCATTAGATGGTGACTTGCCTGCTGTTGGGAAGGTCACTTCTGAAGATGCAAGTTTGATCTCTACTAAGAGAGGTAATAAACCAAAGTTGAGTCTATCAATTTAATTATTAGTAATCTCGAATTTAGTGACCGTCAATGCATGGTACTGGGTTATGGTTAGAGACTCTTTGCTCTTCCTAGAATTCATGTACATATGGCTGCCGGTTTCCTCGGATGTTTAGTCGGAGTGTGTGTGGGAGTTTGTTGAAGAGCTTCCGGTCAGGTTTCCTTTCCACATTCTCTTTTCCGCTCCGAGTTTGGGTCTTCTGAATTAGTAGCAGAGCTTAGTACGTAGAAATTTGATTGTGCTCTATCTTTCTATTATTTTCCCTTTGTTTCTATGACTTAAAGGTTCCCTTCAGTCACAATGGCGTTAAAGTCCTGGGTCTCCGTTTCATCTTCATGGTTGATTGTGTCTTGACATTTTCTTTAGGGTTTAGTACGTTGAAGTTCGTTGGTAATAAGAGATGAATCTTTGTAAATGCTCCATGATCTTGACAAACTGATTTCCTTGAGAGGAAAAAACTGCATAGCAGATTATGATGACTACATCAAGGCCACTGTAAACCCTAACTAAAGATCAAAACACGATCAACCTTGCAGTGCCCCCAAAGCACTGGAATGTCTCGTGTATGAATTCCTGAAAGACTGGGGACTCTCTGACCATAACCTCGCTACTGATCGTTCTTTTCTCGTATTATTAAGATAGTAAAAAAAATTGAGATCACTAACAAACCGGTCGTTGAACTGGCAGATGGAGCAGCGAATTTTACAGCCACTGGAATGATAGCAGGATTCGAGCTGTCTCTCAACGAGGGTCTTATTACCAATGAGGGACTCCATGGATCAGCCGATGTCAGTGGTAATAATCTGGAATGCAGCAGTAATCGCAGATAGGGATGAGTTTCTTGGTGGCATGGTTGCATTTCTATAAGAAGGTAAATTGATGCTTCCCTCGAGCATTCTCTTCGTTCATATATGATGCTGAAGTGTTGGTCTGTTGGCCATTGTGGCAGGTTGATGTCCCATATCCATCCTACTTGAAAGTGTTGTATTCGTCTGTTGTGCAAACAGCAGGCAGAGAGAGCCCTGCGTGTAAATAACACTGCTTTCGTCCCTTTTTACTGTGTTGAGTGGTGGAGTAGGATTCGATTCGGGTGGCTTGTTTCTTTCCCCAGAAGATACGTTTGACCCTTCACTTGTACGTATGGGATTCAGCGTGAGCAACTTGTGTATATATTGTATAGTTCTTATAGTTATCTGGACGTATGGATTGTGAAATTGTATCAACGGGAAAACGAGACGATTTTCAGGGTGTTCCTTGATGTAAAAATGGAGGTCTATCTGGGTTGTCTCGTCATGACATGTAATGATATAAGAGACTAGACAAATTCGATTTTTTCCTATTCAATCTGTCAACATAGATTAACATTGTTACGTAAAGATCATAACTCATTTGTTTTACAGATTTTGCACATAAGTATCAGATTTTTTGTACTCTTGCAAGATCCATTTTGATATATTTTTTAATAAAAAAAATTTCAGGTCATCATATTATTGTTATATCATGATGTTATGTATCATAGAATGCTTTGATACAATGTATCACAGATTTCTTCGTTACTATGGAACGATTTGATTTGAACTAGTTAAAATTTATGAATGAAAAATTATAATACCAATAGGGTATGACATGTGATTTGTTAATGATGAAAATTTGATTATTATACATTTTTTTATCAATACATATTATTCATGATATACAAAATAAATGTATCAAATCTTAGTATTATTATGATATCAGATTGCTTCAAATTCCGAAATTCAATAATATCAAAATAAAAAAATCTTCGCGGGCGAATATTCACTCGTTCAATATTTACTTCATTTGTAGAGTTAATCCCTGACGCCGCCAAATAAATGAATTGTCTCTTGGTTCTTTCGCCATCCTGCCTAAAAAATCATTAAGATTTACAATCTTATGTATTCCCAGGTTCCGTCGTTCCCATCACTTCTCTATTAATGGTTAGGTACGAGCCGAGATTTTAGTAAATGAGCTTAACTCGAGCTCAAGTTGACTCGTCCATTAACAAACGAGGTTAGCTCAACCTTGACTCGTTTATTAACAAGCCAAATTCAAGATAGAGTAAAACTCGACTCGACTCTACTCATTTACAGTCCTACGTTTCACTTTTGCTAATTAAATTTTTTAGCATAGTCAATTTCAAACATAGTATCACGTGCGATCACATGTAATGAGACTCAATTGATAAAAGGGACTAGATAAATTCGAATTTTATCTATTCAATCTCTCAACATAGACATCGAAGAGCTTATATCAACATTAGGAAAAATATACTTCTAAAGCTATAATTTTTATCTTTGTGACAAAAATAATCAACTTTTAAAAAATCACAAGTATAGCTAGATTTCCGTCAGGTAAAATTGGAGGTCTATCACACTTGTCGCCGCAGGTTCCAACCGATAAAAAGACTAGATAAATTCAAATTTTATCTATTCAATCTCTCAATAGTCAATACAAACACCGAGCTTAGATTAATACTAAACAAACACTTTTATAGTCATAATTTGATGTTTGTGACAACAATAATAAACTTTTTAAAAAGTCACAAATATTATAAGATTCGGGATGCTCGTTGGAAAAATATAGCCATTTCGTCACAGTATAGTTAGTGATGTTGACTAGACTAACCATTTATGTTGATTGGTGATTTTTTGTCTTTGCTTTGCAATCTATTAGCCACATCAGATTTGTTTACTTTACAATGTATAGCCAAAACTTTGATTCTAATGACAAATATAGTCAATTTTTCAAAATATAATCATGACTAAATATAATTTTCAAATGAGCCGATTATCGTCTCATCATCTTAGTGTTCTGGGAGCATAAAATAATGTGTCACAGGAACATATAATTCCAAATTTGATGCAACAACTTCTTAGATCACAAATCGACGCTCGTCCTCCTTGAATTTATCCCCATCCTCATATCGCCCTCTTCCGTATGCTCGAAAGGTTCACTAGACGCACTACTAGATTGCATACCCAACATATCATCTTCCTCTACTATTGGTCTAGCGAGCTCGACACTTATCTCACCAAACTCGCAATTTAGATTTTGCGTCATAAAATCTGGTAGCATATCAACTCCAACATCATCGATAACATGCATATTGTATGACAAAGTTCACCATTTCTTAGCAATTTTGGTTGCATGGATGTAAAGACCATTATTGTATGTTCTACTTTTTTTTTTTTTTGTAGATAGGAGATGATTACTTCGTATAGTTGCTTATATTTTATATGACCACAAACTTGTAGTTTGAAATTCGTACCACTAATGAACCTCAAACCTAACTTGAGCTCTTCTCTTTTAACTCCCCACCAAACGAGTTCAAAAGTTTGAAGATAATCACAAAACAAAAAATATAACACAATAAAATTAAGTATTAACTAATTGAAACACACAATTTCAGGCAAACATATATACACTAAGCAAATACAAAATGTTCATTGCACACCTCTAATATGTGATAATTTTAAGTGGTTGGGCAATTGAAATGCATGAATATTGTTGCAGTGATATGTGCAAACAGCAAATATGAGAGACGACTTGGAAAGGAAGATGAGGAAGTAAGGTAACATTGAAATTGGAAATGTTTGTGTCTAGAATGTACTAGCAGTCAATGCAGTCAAATTCTAGATCTTAAGTAAAATCGAAAACTGAGGTAGAATCGAAGTCGTAGATTAAAATCGTAAGATTTTAAGGTTCATATTAAAATAAATACTTAAAACACTAGATAGTAATAAAAATGCATATCTTAAATAACAATCAACCACATAAAGCATAATTACTTCCCAAGATAAGTTTGTTTGCTAAACAAACACAACTAATCCATATATTTTTCTTGTACATAATAGAAACACACAAATAAGAAACCTGAAACATTATAGATATCACTGTTAATTAATTGTTTAGAGTAGAAAATCACATAAGATCGTTAGGATCAACATTAATATCACTTACACATCATCGTCATCATCCTCAACCTCACCCTCACTCTCATCGTTTTTATTTGTTTAAGGACTAATATCATTACTCTTATGATCACTTGAAGTACTTTCACCATTAACCATATTTCCTTGATTACCATCATCTGGAAAAGATAACTCATTGATTGATGCATTCCCTTCTTAATTGATAAAAGGTCGGGTTAGTGGTGCTGAAGGATTGGGAGATGAACAAAAGCTTGCAATGTAATGGAGATTTGGATTATTGTGAGGGTGGTGGGAACAAACTACAAGCTAATTGGGAGGGTGGAAGATATCGTTGATGGAAGGAGTTGGGCGCCGACGTGCGAAAGAGGAAGATACGAGGAAGAGAATGAAAATAAATTGAGGGTTAACTATCAGGTTGGGGTTGTGTTGTTCATTATGTTGGGTTGGGAAAAGTAAATTTGACTCGGTTCATGGGCATAACCCAACTTGACCGGCCTAATTTTGATTCAATTGATATGAACCTTGAAATCGTACAAAATCGTAGAAATCGTAGATTTTATGGATTTTAGAGTTTTAAATCGGGATTTTATGGGATTTTAAGGTTTAAAGATTTTACAGTAAAATCAGGATCGGAACCCATAGGAAAGATCGTAAAGTCGGGATTTTGACTACATTGCTAGCGGTTATGGGGCTCCGATCTGGATTCCTTCGTCTGATCTCCTCGAGAGTGAGAGAATCTGTGAGGTGGGGGCGGCCCCCGAGCTCTACGCTCCGACGCCCAAGTTAGTACGATATATGAGAGTGTATAGTGTGTAGAGAGATAAAGTAGAGAGAGGGACCTTAGGGGAAAGTGAGGAAGGGAAGAAGAGGCTCTCTAGTTTAGAGGGTTAGGCCTCCTTATATAGGGTTTGGGCTTCCTTGAGTGGGCTTGGGCCCAGGACGCCTTGCGGTGGGTTTGGCCCGTTTATAGTCGTGTTAGACATATTAATCCATATCCCAACAGAAAAAGAATGTGAGTTGAAAATGGTGAAGGACGATGTTATAGTTGAAAATATTAGAAAAGCATGTGTGAAAATCAGAGAGATATGATCTCTTATTTATATGAAGAAAAATTTGACTTTTTTGACTTATTTATTGTCGAAAGATTTGTAATTGTTTGTATGTATTAGCGGTCTGGTTATTTTTAGCTACTGGAAGTCAGAACCTGCTAGCAGTAATCTCAAATTAGACGTGCAGTCGTGCCTCGTTGGAGGTTATTGTCGCTTGAATCTGTCTTCCAACGGCTAAGAAATAATTATTGGCGTCCACACCTAAATTTAACTAAAAATGCTTACAAAAGCTAAATCGGGAGCTACATTTTGATAAGCAAATTTTAGATACAATATCTTCATAGTCTACTTGTCCCTTGTAAATTTGGCGGATAGAAGTAACTAGGCAAACACGGAAACCCATACAGCAGTGGAGCCATTGACATGGACAAATTTCTCGCCTAAAGCAAGACAAGAACAGTTCTTACTAGACCACCACCACAAAAGCAAACAAAACTCTATATGCTTTTTGCAATGTGCTACAAAGATACTTCGTTTATTTCACCTTATCACACTCTTAAATCTTACCAAGATCAGCTCAAGGCAACCCAGGACAGCAACTACAAAGAGTAATTATAACTTTCACACACACAAAAAAGGCCTTGTACAACAATCACTCTTCAGCCAGCTTCTTCTTCTTCTTCTTCTCTACATAGGAATCGATCCACCAGCGCTGATTATCTGCTGCTCCAGCTGTAAAGCCACAAAGAACAAAGGGAGTTCAGACAAGATTGCAGAACATAAACCATCTCCTGGTGATAGTTACAAATGAACATCATAGGAGAACAATCCCATTGGAAGTTCTATGCATAGAGGTGGTTTCATGATAAAAACTAGAAATTAGATTGTGTCGAATGCGGGTGTGATGAGTGTTCCGAACCAGTTACCAAACACAGTTGCAGAAATTATGTCTTTTGAATGGTCAATATATCTTGTTCCTTTTAACCACATAAACATGTTGAATGATAATTTCCACCCAACTTACCCTGAACAGAGTCTGGAGCTTGTTCTTCAACAGAACACACTCACGATTCACTTCTTGTAAACATCGCATACACCTGAAAGCAACAGTCTTGGGTTCAATTTACACTCCAGAAGGTAACCATTGTGACGGACTGGTATACTACACATATTGTTGCCTCTAAATACTCATATTCTACATACCTCCCCAATGATTAGAAATTGTATAAGCAGAATAGTTATATCTACTTAACTAGGGTTTCTTATGCAGAATGACTGGAGAAAGAACTCACCCATCCCGGTTTTGTGAATCGCAACAAGTTTTAAACGCGACGCACAGATTCTTAATCCTTGCTGCCCCAACACTGGTTCACCATGGAAAGGAAACTCAGTAAGTGGTCAACAAAAAGAAACAACAGATAGCAGCTTTTCTTCTCTCCAAGTAGTAGTAGCAGCAGCAGCAGCAGCAGGATCTGTTTACCTGGAACTACTACCCTTCAATTGATGAACACTGGAATCGACCTGTTTGAAATCTACAGCCTGCAGTTCGCTGACACACCACAAAGGAAATTCCCTCAGAGAATCATCAATCAAGCTCTCAAAATTCGCGCAGAACGGAACAATCCAAGTTACAGGAAAAAAAAAAAAAAAAAACTCACAGAGCTCTGGCCATGTTGGTAACAAGCTTCTGACAATCTTCAAAGAAGAGAGACACAACTTCCATCGCAAAATCAGGGCTGCTCTCATCTTGCAGTTGCTGAAGCTGAGAAAACTGGTCGTCTAGAAATCCCTAATCGGCGAAAAGAACCGGAATTGAAAATGAGTCAAAGCAAAAGATCCCCTTTTTAAAATAAAAAACAACAAACAAACAAACGATCCGCCTCCGCCATGGGTAACAGAGAAATTCAATCAGAGCAATCGAAATCATATTCCATACCCAGTCCAACTCAATTCCATTCTCAATCCAAGTAAAGCAAGCGAGCAATCTATTAAAAGCCATTTGGAAGAAGGAAACGAAGACGCGAAGATTGAAGTTTGACTGACATCGCGATGCAAGGAGTTGGTGTAGTCAGCGAGCTGGTGACGCAATTGAGAGAGAACGTCCATGGCGGGTGGCTGATGAGTAACTTGCTGCTGCGGCGTGCTAGTTATGCCGCCATGATTTGGAGGTGGACGGTAATGGTGGAGAGGCATCGGGAGAACGCCGTTGAGCAGAAGCGTAGCGGAGGGAGGCTAAAGTTGAAATTTGAGTTAGTCGATTGGGTGAACGAATCTTTGGTCCTGTGTGATTGATTAGAGAAAGTTTTCATTTTATGGGAAGGAATTAAAAAAAGGGAATTGGATTCGGGGGAAGTGGCAGTTAATTTCCATCTATACAATCTTGACAAAGTTGACGTCGGAACAAATATATGAATGCAGTTGGTCAGCCACCGCAAGGAGACAGAGGGCTGCAAACGAGCCGAGTCGAGTCGAGTTTTTGCTTAGCTTGAGCTCGGCTCGTTTATTAATTTTTCAGCTCGAGCTCGGCTCGAACTCGAATTTTGATAATCCAGCTCGAGCTCGAGCTCGGCTTGAATAAAAATAATCTAGCTCGAGCTCGACTCGGTAGAGCTCGATAAATGCTCATTAACATAGCTTGTTAAGCTGAGTACAAGCTCGGCTCAAGATGAGCTCGATTTAAAATCATTTTTGCTGGAAAAATGTATAAACATAAGAATTTAAATGATAGAAAGAACACTAGAAACTAGAAATAACATCTAAATTTCATACACATCTGTATTATAAGACAATGTTCATGTTTAAAAGAGTAATTCATCCTTCCACAAGCTCAAAACAAGGCAGCTCGCGAGCTTAGCTCGACAAGCCACCGAATCAAGCTAGCTCACGAGCTTATCAAGCTGAGCATGGTCTAGCTCAGGCTTGGCTCGTTAACTAACAAGTTGGCTCGCGAGCCGGCTTGTTAAATAACGAGTCGAGTGTCGAACGAGTTTTTTCCGATTCGAACGCCGAGTTGCTCGCGAGCGGCTTGGCTCATTTGCAGCCCTAGAGACAGCCAAAGAGTAAGGTTGGTTACTTGGTTACGGTTTTTTGCGTAATAGACATCGAATCGCGACCGTGTGGTTAGTGGTTAACCGCAAATTATATAAATGTAGTGACCTGGATTAGTAATATTCTTTGTTTAGTGGTTATGTGCTTACTCGATAACCTCGTCGAATAAGAAATATCCGTATAATTAATCGCTATTAATCATATAAAAAAGCGCACAAGTTAACCAACACAATAAAGAATTAGCACACTCTAAGGCCTTAGTTTCTGGATGGAGACTCGACACTCTAAGGCCTAAGCAGTGGCGGACCCAGAAATTTTTCCAGGGGTATTCACAAAAATAAATAAATAAATAAATAAGTTTAATTCATAAAGTACATCAATGAGTTGTCGATGATAGAAGAAGGGCAAGCAAGGGTTTTGTCAAAAAAATTGGGAATTGTAATTAGAAATATTTGAACTCAGAGGGTCGAGAGTTTTTTTTTTATTGGGGTAGAGTTTTCATTCCCAAAAAAAGAGAAGGAGATTTAATAAAATCTTAGTGGGACTTGGATTCGGCAGATTAGACGGGAATTAATTTTGAGCATTATATATTTGCTTTGGAATGTCTATAATAACAATTGGATAGTGGTTTAATGGAACTTCTATTGGGTGTAAGGGTTGTCAAAATGTCAAGGGTTCAAATCATGCTATCAACAATATATTTTTTCCTATGCTAATTTGTTCCAAATTTTTAGCCAATGTTTGTCAACTGACTACCCTTGGCATTGAACAGTTCCGCCACTGAACTAAGCAAAGGCCAAAACCCAAAATGAAAACAAAACAATCCGTTTATATATATGTTCAATTTCATCGGGTTCCTTTCATCTCGGGTTCAATTGAATCAACTTCATCCTTCAGAGTGAAGACAAAAGAGTGTTGCTGGTGCTCGAAGCTGTTGCTGCCAATGAAAAAGAATTCGAGGATGATTGAGAAATCAAGACGATGTTAATATGTATAATTTATTTCGTTATGTTGTTGGATGGTAATTTGGATTATCATTTTCTTTGAGTTGTTGGATGGTAAAATGAATGATTTATTTAAGATTTTTCATGTGTGTTTTTTTATGTCATTAGGTAATTCGGTTTTACTGGATAACCGCGGGTAACTGCAACTCACATTGTGTGGTTAATGGGTAATCGCTAACCGCTTACATTGTGGTTGCGATTAGCATATTCGAACTTAAAACGAGTATGGATAACCGTCTTAAATAGTGCGGTTAATCGTAACCGCACCGACTGACACCTCTAGCCAAGAGGAAGAAGTGGGTCCATTGGGCAATAAGTACTGAAAAATGTATGGTTCAATTGTAGTCCAGCTCTGTGTGTTGTTCCGTTCCATATAACATCAAATCTTAATGAACCAACAAAATTTAGGGGGAATTAGAGCTGTGAAATTAAGGAGGAAAGGACGAGAGGAATACAGAAGCTAGAGAATTTTTCGTTTTGCAACAAAGTAGTGAGTTCAAGAGAAGATTTCAATAAAAACTCATCGTTGGGTTGTCCTCAAATTTAAAGGACACGTTTCATACTTTCTGGGATCCGATTAGACCGTTGGGATTGTTGTTATAATGTCTGGTTTGTTGAGAAATGTTGTTGGTCTGACAAGGTGCAAACTTGTTTTCATGTAGCTGGCACTTGCTTCCAGGGAGGATTCTGGAGAAACCAACCGTTGGATCATCCTGAAACTATGAGAATTGGTTTAAAACTCATTTTAAGTTAGTTTGGTCATCGGGATTAATGTTATGAGTTCTGGTTTGTTGGAAGAGAGGGTGTGAAATTGGTTGAAACTCATTCAACTGGAAACGTAAAAAAATGGAGCAGAAACACGTTTTTGATAGTTTTGTACAGCTTTTTTTATAAGTTTTTACACATAATATGTTTTTATATAGAAACTGAAGCATTTTGCCTAGTTAGAAATGTAATTGATGAGATTGTTTTTGACAAATTGATGAGATTGTTACTATACAATACATTGAATGTTTATGTGATGTGACAGAAATTATCACTCAAAATGAGTGATTGTTATATCTCAGCTTTTAGCCGAGATTGTTGAGATAGTTTTGTCTAAACTTTGAGCTGATGTGACATACACAATCACACATACCAAACATTGTATTTTACAATACATCAAATTCGACAATACATGTATAACATTATACATGCATTCACAACAATACATCTATTTAACAATCGCAACTGGCAAACGACCCCTAAGAGTTAGTTAACTCATGATATCGCGTTCAACTACAGAGTCTAAGTATGCTTTTAGTAAAGTTTCGAAGATTTATGAAGTGAAGAATCGACTCAATTGAATTCTTGGTTCACAGGTTTAACCTGAAGATTTTTTTTTTGGCTGCTTGAAGAAGTCCTACACGGTGTCGTTGCATTCTGCACGACTTCAGCCTAGGGGTCATTCGGATGAGGAATTCTATCTGATCAATTTGGGCAGATTGACTCATTTTGAAACAATATAGCCAAATTGATCCGTTTGGTAGCACAAAATTCAGATGAAGCAATTATGCCTGAGGAATTTCAAAATGAGTCATTTTGAGGCAATTACAATTGTTTGGGTGGGGGCAGACAATTCGAATTATTTTAGTATTCTATTGTTTACTTCTATGAAGCAATAGGGTTGTAAAGCTCAAGCCATCTATAAGCTGAGCCTTGTACGTATTCCGATGGAAATAACAAGTTTTCATCCGTAGTATTTTCTTAAAAATAATGATCATTCTCAGCCCAGCCCAGAAAATCTAAATCCCAAAAGCCCAAGCCCAGCCCAGGTTCTGTAGTTTCAAAGAATCGCCCCGACACTTAACTCCTCTGTGCATCTTTCCTTGACCTCAAACGAAGCCCTTCTTCCTTCCTTACTCCGCAGTCATCGCCGTCGTCTCTAGGGGGATTTTTCTACTCCGTTGCGCAATCAACCGGCTGCTGCTTCGCCGTCGTCTATTCGTTCCGCCGGCAGACTTCCCTTTGCCGATAAAAGACCTCTCCCTAAAACCCTCCAAAAACCCCCACCATGCCCATTTCATCTTCCGCGCAATGAAGCGATTCTTCAAAATCTCGGAATCCGAGCAGCTGCTCTCGCTCCACCACAAATCCCTTGCCCAACCAACATCAGCGCTAACTCCTTACTCCCTCGCCTTCACCAAATCCCCCGCTTACCCCTCTGGCCGGAACACCGACGGCCCTTCCGCCGGGACATCTCGCAGCGTTTATGAGCTTTTCATCGACAAATTCTCTCTCGCGGTTGACAACAGAGGCAGGCAGATCCTCGAGGAGAAAGTATCCCGCTTGGCCGACACATTGGTTCAGCATGCCGACGACTTCGATAAAGTCGTCGGGGTTTTGGAGGAGTCCGGCCGCTCCTTGCTCCGGAGGTATAACGATGGATCCGCTTTCCTTGAGTTGTTGAAGATTTTGGGTCGTTCCTCGCCACAATTCGCTCTTGAGGTCCTGGTTTTTATCTGTCTGTCTTGCTGTGCAGAAATCCCTTGCATTGTTATTCTGCTCGTTCTTCTTGAATGGAATGTCAAAAAGTTTCAAAATTTCTGAGTTTTGCAGGTTTTCAACTGGAGAAGAGAAAATGCGGACTGGGGCATTCCCTTGACTTCTGAGGAGTATGCCAGGGCTATTGCACTTGCCGGTAGGGTAAAGGATGTATTGTTGGCAGCTGAGCTTTTCTACGAGGCTAGTAATAGTCGCATCAGGACAACTGCAATATATAATGCGCTGATGAGTGTTTATATGATCAATGGTCTTGCTGATAAGTGTCAATTATTGTTCGGGGAGTTGAAAAGGGAACCAAATTGTGCGCCTTCAGTTGTAACATATAATATATTAATATCGGTTTATGGTCGATTGTTACTGGTCGATAAGATGGAGGCTGCACTCCAGGAGGCAAAGGATTTGAATTTAGCTCCTAATGTGAGCACTTACAACAATCTAATTGCTGGTTATTTGACTGCTTGGAGGTGGGATAGCATGGAGAAAATTTACCAAAGGATGAAGTCGGATTCCATCCAGCCTGATGTTCAGACCTGGTTACTAATGCTTCGAGGCTATGCACATTCTGGGAAGTTGGAGCTAATGGAGAGAACATATGAGTTGGTGAGAGATCATGTTGATTTCAAGGAACGTCCTTTGATCAGTGCTATGATATGTGCTTATTGCAAGAGTTCTGTTCCGGATAAGCTGAGTAGAATTGAGGCACTGGTTAGCCTTATTCCGAAGGAGGAGTACAGGCCTTGGTTGAATGTGTTGCTGATTAAGGTCTATGCACGAGAAGGTTGCTTGGAGAGGATGGAAAAGTCTATTAATGAGGCGTTTGAACGCCAGACCATTGTAACAGCTACTGGTGTGATGCGGGCAATAACTGGGGGTTATTTCAAATATGATGCTGTTGATAGACTTGCTAACTTCATCAAACGTGCAGAAACAGCTGGGTGGAGAATGTGTCGGACTTTGTTTCATGGCAAAATGGTCCTGTATGGATCAGAGAATCGATTGAAGGAGATGGAGAATGTGCTTTCTGAGATGGATAATGTCAACTTGGACTGCACGAAGAAAACATTTTACATATTGTACCGCTCCTATTCATTGTGGGATCAAAGGGATCTTGCCAAAAAGATCATAGGATTGCTTTACAAGCGTGGACACGGGATTCCTGCTGACGCTTCTTTGTCATAGACTTGAACACATCAATGGATTTCCTTCTGGGTTATGTGCATCTCGATTTGTGGAGGGGACTTTCCAACTGATTCTCCCCATACACAGTGTGATGGGATCAACGATCTGAGTTGAAGGTACATTTCACTTGCTTCTTGAGGAGTTATAGTCACTGTCTTGTATGCTTGGCAGTTGGGATGCTAATTGACTATGTATCTGATTTTTTCCACCGCTATACCACTCGTGTCTAAAGTCAACATTTCCAGGGGTGTCAGGGAGTCCTTTCTTCGATTAATGAGCAGTTTTGCCAGGATCTTGACATTATTAGTTTCCTTTTTCTTCCTTTTGTCCGTAAATTTCTTCTATGAGGAAGTATGTTTCTTTGTGAATAGTTTTAACTCCTATCAAGGAGTTCCGCTGTGACATATAGAATACACGATTTATTGCCTCGTGATTTCCTTTTTGAATAATTCTCGAATCTTGATTGAGGATATGCTTAACTGAATTCGTAATTTCCTATGCTTTCATTGAAGGCATGGTTCTTCAAATCCCTACTTTTCTTTTGTTTTCTTTAATTTTCATGCTACTATCTCAAACAAGAAACCTGCATTTCCCATTTCTTTTTGTGTTGCATAAAATATGGGAAAGTGACTCTGGATAGCACTTTAAAAAAAGGTGACTACAGAATACATATAGTAGAGCAGAAACCTGAAGGTGGTTAGTTGGTGTCTAGACTTAGATTTCTGTTTCTTAATGGCAATGTCTACCACAGAATAGAATGCAAATTAGGTACAACATAGGGAAGGTGACAAGAGCAATGTAAGTTGCTGAAGAGGATCCTGGTAGTAAGTCTTTTTGACACAAACCCTGTGGAAGTGAGATGCACTAAGGAAGATAATTGAAAATGTGGGATAATTTGGTCCTTTCTTTGAATTAAATTGAGTTGGCATTGTACTGGATTAAGCAAAATACTTCTAGCTTTCAGATTTTAGCTTCTGGATTTGTTTGTAAAGTCTTTCTAGTAATGGGAGTAAAAGCTAATTCAACTTATTTATTTCTTATGAATCAAATGTAGTTTGAAAGTATGATTTATAAGCATCCATCAGAGTAGAGATACACATGAAGTCCTCTGCAATAAATAATGATGTCAATTTTTTCAGAAAGCGATTGTGCTTGCAATATACTAAAGTAAAATAGCAAGCAGTATGATTTGTTGTATTATTTGACAGAAGCTAGAGGGCTGATCTTTGATGGAAATACTAAATACTGACTCAGAATTCACCACTCCTATTCATCTTGCTCTTGCCAAACCAAAACAATTTATGTGCTCCTCGCTGTGCAAATGTAAGAGCGCCTTTTAGCAGGTGTAGGAGCGATATACAGATTGGTAGCCATGGCGATGTTTTATGTGCTCATAGTTGTAATGCAAGTTATGACACCAGGAATAATACAGCAAAAAGCAAAATTCGTTCTGTTCAGTGTCCAATCTCTAAAACCATCTGATCATTGGTCTAGTGGTAACGTCAGGCGGCATTATCAATATCGCAACAGCAATAGTTTCATCCATTAACAGGTGTGACTGAAAAATTACAACACGACACGACTCCCCTCGTCAGACTGGAAATTTACATACTTCGTTATCTCTAGATCTGACAAATGGGGTAAGCCGGTGGCTGCTATGGTTAACAACAACTTACTACTATTATGAGTAGCATCAGTAGTTTTACATTACAAATTGGTTAGGCGGCACTGACGAAGTTCTTAATCTCCTCCATAAGACAGTGGAAATGCTGATTGTTTGGCAGGAAGTAGAACCCAATCGTCGCATCCTGCAGAAAAATGAGCTGCACCTGATTCCCAGCTCGCTCCATGCCTTCAACATACGCCAGCTGCCAATCCTGAATCAGATCCAAACCAGCCACCACCACCAAGCTCTTGGGCAGCTTCATCCCCTCTAGATTCTTACTTCTGGGTCCGAACACGTTACATGCCGGATGATCTCTGCTTTCCCCTTCCGGCAAGAAAGCTCTCCAATACCAATCCCTATCCTGAACCGTGACAAAGTACTTCCCGTCCAATCGCTTCTCCGATTCCGTCCTCTCTTCCCCGCCGAACATCGGGTGGAGCAGGATGTTACCCAGTATCGAAATCCCAGCTTCCGCGGCCTTCACGGCCACGTGGTGAGCGATGTTCCCGCCGGAGCTGTCGCCGGCGAGGTACACGTGTACGTCGGAGGAGTTGCGGTCCTTGCCGCTGCAGAGCCAGGGCCGGGATTTGACCCACTTGAGAGCCGCCCACCCGTCGTCGTAGGCGCACGGGTACCGATTCTCCGGCGAGCGGCGGTAGTTGACGGAGACGACGACGGCGCCGCCGCAGAGGGGGACGAGGCGGCGGCAGAACGTGTCGTAGATCGCGCTGCCTGCGGAGGAGTGGGTGAAGCTCCCGCCGTGGAAGAAGACGATGACGGGGACGACGGCGGTGGTGCTGAGCGGGTTCTCGAGGTCGATCGGGGCGGTGGGCGGACCCAATTGAGATTCGGGTCGGTAGACCCGGTTGAGAAGCCCGGTGGATCGGTCGAGGTGGTCGAAGGAGAAGACGCCGTCGACGGGGTTGGTGTTGGCCGGGAGCTTCCGGTCGAGGAATTCGGCGAGGTCGCGGTTGAATGAGCCGTCGGGACGGCGGAGGAGGTTGTAAGCTAGCTTGAAGTTAGATATCAGTACCCAGGTGTTGAGCGGAACCACCCTCTGCCCACCAAAAAAAAAAAAAAAAAAAGCTTTCAATCCATTTAACAAAGAAGAACCAAAAATGGGGATAGACCCAGATAAGGAAGGAAGAAAGAAAATTAGATACCTTGGATTCATTGAGGTTGACTTCGTTATCACCCGCCATGCGATCTCTTCTTCTTCTTCCTCCTCTGGTTCTTGTTCTCGAGACAGAGAGAGAGAGAGAGAGAGGGGTCAATTACTGTTTTATCGAGAAGAGGGTAATGGGTTTTTGTGGGATTTCTTCTTCTTCTTCTGCTAACATTTGGGTTTTGCTTAAAGAGTCAAAATCATGTACTGGAGGTTTATGTTTGAACCATGGAAACGCTAGAAGAAGAAGAAGAAGGAGAAGAGACGACCAGCAGCACCGCCTCGCTACCAAGGCTTCTCCCACCTTCCTCTTTTTTGGATTTGTAATCTAAGGCGCTCTTGCCACCTGCTGGTTCGTTTGAAAAGGCGAGGAAGAAGAGGACAAAAGAAGGAAGAAGCCAAGTTTGACAAACCAAAAAAAAAAGAGGGGCCGACCCGATTAGCTTCACCTGTTTGCTTAGTAATAAATAACTTGGAAATGAACTCTACTATCAATCATCCACTACAAGACAAAAGAAGCAGGAGAGAGAGAGAGAGAGAGAGAGGAGAAAAATACAAACGAAACACGGCACGGCAGATGCCCAAAACGCAAACAAGGGGGGAAAATGGAATGGTCAACACAATTACAAGACTCGGCGCCAATCGAGAATAGAAAGGAAAAAACACAGTGGTTTTGGGAACAAAATCGATGCTTAGCAGCCCATAATTACTTTATTATTGTACTAATCATCATTAATGCTTTAAGATAATGTACTTCTTTTTTCTCATTCAACTTCTCCTTCCGTCATCTCTCCAGATTAGGAAAAAGCAAAGTCAAGATTAGTAGCTCTACTTGGCGTGGCTGTGGTTGATAATGTGTTTCTAATTTCAAAGGTTAAAATTTTAGGTACTTTGTCCATTTGTATACGATGTATCCCGTTCGAGACTGGTTCAGTATGTATTTTTGTCGTTTTAACTATAAATAAATAAACAATCATCTACTTCTCACTTGCAAAATCAAGTCCATATGGTATTCCCTCGCTAAAACTACCACTCCAAATCAATGGACAAATGTAACAAAAGATCGCGGCGGAGTAGTATAGTGGAAGTAAGTTTTACTTATCAAATTCAGGGTCATCAGATCTACTATTGCTTAATGATTATCTGTTATCTAGCAAAGCAAGTTGTGAATTCAAGTAAACTAAGTTTGAGGAAGCAAAAAAGGAAAAAAAATAGTTGATTCGAGGTTCTGGTATGAGAAAGGTCACTTGCGTATGCTTCCCCCCGGTCTATAGTCAAGTCGACGTTGTTTACTCGCTAGTTCATTTAACTCGATGTTTATACTGCGAATCATTCTTATTTTTCCTTGAATCTAGAGGTGGCAATTTAGGATCTATATTCACGAATCCAATTCAATCCATCCACCAAAATATCCACATAATCCAATCCATTTGATCCAAATCCAATCGAATTGGTGGATTCATGGATAGATCCATGGATCCAAATGACAAATTACGGTTTAGTACCTATATTTTTTATATTTTAAATTTTGGTACCTAAACTTTATTTTTTATATGAAAATATCATTGGAAACTTACATTTTGGTACCTAAATTATTTGTTATGACATTTTAGTATCCAAAATTTTCAAAATTTACATAACGGTCCAAGACTTGGATGTCATTTCGATTCATGGATCAATCCACCGATTCATTTGATCTAATTCATGAATCCACCAATCCATTGGATCCAATCGATTTGATCCATGGATCCACCAATCCATGAATTCAATCCATCTACCACCTCTACTAGAATCTAAACTAAAGTTGACAAGCCCTCTTGATAGACTGCTCAGTAGGACACTCTCCACAATTGGAACAAAATACCAAGAAAATGCAAACTAAATTCCCTCTACCGTATCGCAAACCACCTTCAAATCGCTCCATACTGAAAACGTTCCAGCTGGAAATCGCTACAAATTGAAGCGATCTACCTTTATCGTTGTTGTTGAAGCGATCCGTTTTCCGAATCACTAAACAGTGCGTCGAACCACTCCCAAATTTGTGTATTTTGCAGAATTTCATTATAATTGTGATACTATAACTCTCATATTTTTTTTTTTAAATCCTTTCGTTTTGTGCATGCGAAGTAGGAATGGCAATGGGTCGGGTTGGGGCGGGTTTTGTCAAACCCATGGGTTTATCCGCCAAAAAAACCCGGGGTAAAACCCGTTGGGTTTGAAAAACTCAAACCCAACCCAACCCGCCGGGTATCCGCGGGTTCATGGGTACCCGTGGGTTTTTCTAGTAAAAAATTTACAATAACAAGTTTCTTTCAAAATAAAAGTTTAACATCAATTTTCTCATACAAATTAATCATACAAAAAACACCAATCTAGAGCATACAAGCAAACAGCAAATGATCAATACAAATTATTCAAAATAAAAAAAAATATCTATAAACAATAAGATTAATTGAAAGTTTCTTCCTCGTCAACTAAGTTTCTTCATTTTTCACTTCATAATATCAACTTCATTCTAAACAATTAGAAAGAACAAATTATACATGTCTCTACAAACATAAAGAATATTAGTTGTTTAAGGAAGATATATTATTTAGAATATTAAATATACGGGAAAAGTAATTATATGTGTGTGGGCGGGTACCCATGGGGCGGGTTTACCTAAACCCATACCTAACCCGACCCGGTGAATAGTGTAGCGGGTTTAAACCCAAACCCGGCCCAAAACCCGTCAACACGGGTTTTACCCGCGTTGACCGAATTGGGTCGGGTGGGTACCCGTGGGTTCGGATTTTGTTGCCATCCTAATGCGAAGTCAATAAAACATGTTTGGACCTATTATTAATGGAGTTATTATGTTACACATCACCCCCAACTGGGTTTTACAATCCAAACAAATTATTATAAATTATCGTCTTTTAGTAGACAAGAGACAGTAGTAGGCGGCTTCTTGTCCCTAATCCCTATCTATCTAGCTTTTCCATTAGGTTCGCACGAAGAAAAGCCCTTAATAATAACCTTAATTAAAGGGGATCCCCACCTCCCAAGTCCAACCCTTTTTCATTTATTAGTAATCTCGTCGTCCTGGTTAACTTTTTTTGAACCATTAATTTGTATCTACTGTCTTGTCAGCTGTTCTAGGGCTGGCGGTGTCTCTCTCTCTCTTTCTCTCTCTCTACAATTAGGGATTTCATGTGACCATAACATTACTACTCTCCACTCTCCTCTCCTTTTTTTAATTTGTTCTGCTACCATGTTTTGTTGCTTCTTCTGTTTTATGTGGGGATTTTTTCAATAATAGCACCTTTAAAAAAAAATTACAAAAATAGCACCCATGTAAAAAAAATTACAAAACTAGGACCTTATTTTTTGGAACGCACCCCTAAGATGCGTTTTAAATGTAAAACGCACCAAACAGATGCGATCTACATGTAAAACGCATCAGAGGGGTTCTATCCGAAATATAAAATGCACCTGACAAATGCGATTTGGGGAGGACGCGTTGCGATCCACAAGATCGTCGGATTCACAGACGATCCAACGGCTCAGCGCACGCCAGCGGAGCGATCCGCGCCTTGGATCCCAGATCGCACGCCAGCAATGCAATCCGCGCCGTGGTCAGTCAAACCGCATTGGGAGGGTGCAATCTGCGCCTGGGGAAGCGGAAAACGCATTGGAAGAATGCGATCCGCGCGGGGCAAAATTACCGCCTCGTCCCTGACTGGTGCGATCTGAATCCTATAAATAGGCCCCCTTCCCCTCTCATTTCTTCACACCACAACCCATTCTTCCTTCTCTCTCTAAGTTTTATCTCTCCAAACCCTCCCCCTCCCAAAAGCATAGGAAATAGTGGTCTATTGGTTGCGGCAAAGTCCGATCTGCCATTAGAAAACATTTCTTAGGTTTTTTCCTCAAAACCCGCCGAGCCGAAGCTCTGTCCGAATTCCGCCGAAGAAATGGTCGATTGGTGGCAAGGAGAATGAGTTTACCGTGATGAATTTGAAGCGGTACGTACTCATTATTCGGGTTTAATTTTTGTTGTTGTTATCTTGCTTTTTAATTAATCTATTTACTAACCTCGTTGTTATTTTCTCGTAGGCTGCGGAGGACGTCGATATTTACAACCAACGGTAGTATCTCGAGCAAGGACCGTTGGATCCAACCGACTTGTACGACCAACCCAACCATCGGTCAAGGGATGTTTGGAACGCTCACCCGGTACATACAATTCTTTACCATTTGTCCTTCTTTTATTTTGTTAATGTATTTAGTGAAATATAAAATAAATTAATGTTGAATTTTTAATCGTGTTGGTTGTTTTCAATAATTTAATCGAATACATTGCGCCACTTACTTCGACTCTTTATAAAGAGATGCACGTCTAAGGAAATGGGGTTTTAAGCGATTATCATATCCTCCCATTCCCTGGGAAAATCGGGTATTAAGAGATCCTCGGATCCCCCCTTTTTCTGTCAACAAGACTGCGTTTCTAAGAAGATGTATACCTCTTCTAAGAGTCTAACGAGCGTTGCTTTGTATTCGATTAAATTATTTAAAACAACCAAAACGATTAAATAATTTACCAAACAGTCCTTATGATTTATTTTTATGTGTACAAATGGAATTTTATTAAACTCAAACAATTGAATATATATGTTTCTCTTTAAAATATTGATTCATTAACAATGTCATTTAATTTAGTTAATTTAGTATGTTTATTTTACGATAATTAGTATGTATCTCTTTAAATTATTATTCATTTAGAATTTTATTATGTTAATTAATTTAGGATGTTCGTTTTATGAAATATGTATGTATCTCTTTAAATTATTATTAATTTATAATGTTATTATGTTGATTAATTTAGGATGTTCGTTTTATGATAATATGTATGTATCTCTTTAAATTATTATTAATTTATAATGCTATTATGTTAATTATATGAAATGTCTTTTTATGATAATAAAATTCTGCTTCAAGTTAAATAATTTAATTTAAGTAATTTAGTTATAAGGATTAAACCCTTACTAATATATAATAATTAACGTGTAAATTTTCTCTAGGAGGCACAAACAATAATCCGTTACAGGGGTACGACCAATGTGCTCCCATTCCACCCAGCCATCTTGCCCTTTCTCAAAAGGGCACGATTGGACTCGATTAGGCATTTTAACGGCATCAAAGTTGATCGCCAACTCATCACCGCCCTAGTTGAGAGATGGAGAAAGGAGACACATTGCTTCAACTTGAGAGAAGGAGAGGCCACCATCACACTAAAGGATGTCGCCATCCTAACCCATCTCCCCATCGACGGCAAACCCGTGTGCGTGAGTGATCATGCCCCCGACGATGTCGACGGTATGCCCGGTTGGGTTCATTTCATCTATAGTGTTTTGGGAGTAAAAGTACCAGTGAAGGGGCAAGTTGATGCGACCGATCGCATGCCACCAATGAGGAAACACCAAGTGTCAATTACTTGGTTGACGAAGTACTTCAGAGAGCATTACGAGAGTCATCCCCTAACCGAGGAAAGTCCGGAGGATGAGATCGAGAGATATGCTCGGGTCTATCTCATTGGCATGATCGGAGGAGTGTTCTTCTCCAAAAAAGCAAGCAATCTCCTTAGTTGTGGATGGCTTAGGATCATCCTCGGTAGTTGGGAGGAGATGGGGGGGAGTATAGTTGGGAATCCGCTTGCCTAGCTAATATCTACCACAACTTGTGCAATGCCTCTCTAAAAGCTGTGAGGGAGGTCGGCGGCGCAATGTTCATCGTCCAATTTTGGGCTTGGGAACATATGCCATGGCTTGCACCGGTACAACGTCCCGACCGGGATTGGCCAATCGATCATCCCCTAAGAGGGGAAGCTTATGG